TGGCAAAATGCAAATACTTATGTAGTTTTCAGTGTCAACCATCTTTAAATAAAATCAAGTATAAATTTAACATAAAACTCTCTTAAACAAACAAACCAAACCAAAAAAGGCCCCAAAACCAAAATTTGTCAAAATACATTACTTTTCTGTACTAAACAAAAGAATATAAAAAATATTAAGGGATGAAATATGAGAGAACTATTTCCTAATACCAGGCAAACTGCTGATTAATATTAAATAACACTAGATTAAACAGAGTATGGAAAATCCATACACTTGAATTTCTTGGATCCTTTGTAAATACTGAAATTCTTTTACCTTGACTTTATATATACTGTAACATAAATAGGTTTTTAGATATTTCTACCATATACAATTCCAAAGTTTCTTCAGGAAGTTCAAAACACAGTGTAAAGTTTTCACAAGCTTCCTGAAGAACTGTAGTGCTACTAGACAACAAGCATGCTCACACTTTGATCCTTGCTATATATTGGTTGAGCTTTCCCTGTTCATAACACCAGTAATATAATTTTCTATGGGGGCACAGGTCCCAGGTTGTTATTGTATAATAGGTAACAATGCTTGTTCCTGTCCATGCTAAGTCCTCCTCTCACATTCTTTAATTGCATCAAAAATTATATTTGTCATTTAGAATTATATTTGTTTTAAATGAAAGATATTAAGATATTAAATGCATTGGAAAATATGCACTATAATAGAAGCAAATATCTACAATAATAAAAGTTTAATATGCTAATTAGACTGGACAGCCAGACGACCTTCCGAACGAAGGTCCGGGGCTGCGAGGGCCAAGGCAGCCACTGCAGCTGCGAGGGCCAAACCCCTTGCACAAATTTCGTGCATCAGGCCTCTAGTATATATCTATAGAGGCAAAATAGAAAATAGAACTTCCATAAAAATAAGTTCTGAGTCTTGTTTTTTAGGTGACATTTCTCTCTCTATCCCCTTTCATGGCTATTTCATAAAAGCAGAACAACTAAGAATTCTTTGCTTTCTCCTGGTTCACTATTTTTATTGTTATTAAAACAAACAAACACACAAAAACCTTACCATATTCAAGATAGTTGGTACAAGAGCTCTCTATCTCCAAGGACCAAAGTAAGGGTGATGTGGGATGAGCACTCACACTCAACAAGTCAGTGTTTCATCCTCACCCCTTTAGAGATCTGAGCCATATCAGAAAGTTATCAATGGAACTAAGCACCACGACCTGTACACCCTCTTCCTCTGTGTACTCAGGAACCAACCTATTGTTTATTCGGGTAGGGCTGGGTCACTGGGTAGTAATAGGTGACTATGAAATAAATATGGATCCTTTTTATAATACTTTATTATTGGAATCTGCATGATATACTGAAATGAGCACTGTTCTGAGCGGAAGTCACTACACTTGGAAACAAGTTCTGAGCCTTTAACCAACCATGGGCAAGCATCTTAGAAGGATAAAAAAAAAACTAGATGGAGTCCATCATTCTCAATGTGAGGTTGGAGGAAAGCTGATTCTAATAAGGAAAGTTTACCAACTACTTCTTATCCTGGCGTAGTATGTTAATCCCTTCTCCTTCCTCCGAGGGTGGATTTGTCCCACTGATTAAACAATCACCTCTAGAATAAACCACCCCACTATTTATGTTTTTTATCCTTCCAGACTGATGTGATGAGGGAAAAAATGGTCAAGAAGCAAGAGCCTAGATCAGGGGTCCTCAAACTACGGCCCGCAGGCCACATGCAAATACAAATATTGTATTTGTTCCCATTTTGTTTTTTTTACTTCAAAATAAGATATGTGCAGTGTGCACAGGAATTTGTTCATAGTTTTTTTTTAAACTATAGTCCGGCCCTCCAACGGTCTGAGGGACAGTGAACTGGCCCCTGTTTAAAAAGTTTGAGGACCCCTGGCCTAGATGATCATTAAGTTTGGAGAGCAGCATGTTAGAATGAAAAGAGTGTCAGGAAACCTGGACCATGATTCTGGCTTTACTGTGACCAGTTAGTGATTTGGCGAAGTTACTTGTTCTTAATTTATTTTTCTTTAAAACTAGGTGTTTAAACTTGTGTTCTCTAAGTTCCTTCTTAATTCTAAAATTTTATGCATTTATTTTTTAAAAAAATAGGGCAGTGAAGATCAAGCATGTCAAACTCGAAGGCTAACACGGGCCAAATAAACTAGGCATGGGGTCCGAGGGCTGCAAGTTTGACATGCTTGGTGTAGATGGATGGGGTAGAAACTGCCCTTGTGGAATGGACAAGCTTAAGCTTTCTCTCCTAGAAACTTCTGTTCCGCTCCAAGGTGATTTGGCCGCTCTGTGTCTGGGACCTCCCTGTTCCAACATCCCAGGCATTCCCTTCTTCTCTCTTCTGTTTCCCTTGTTCCATGTCTTCCTTTTTGGGGTCTACTCCCTTATTTTGACAGATAACAGCTTACAAGTATTGCTTTAGAGAAGTACAAAGCTATTCTGACTCCTGATCCTTTACCTGTGACCTGTTTTGGCCCTGGCTCCAAAAAGTTTGAGTTATATTCTCCTTGTTTCCTATGGTATAAGTTTCACAATGGTGTGCCTCTGTATGGGTCTATTTTTAATACTGTGTTTGGTACTTATTGAATCTTTTCATCTGAAAACTAATGTCCTTCAGTTCTTAGAAATATTTTTTGTTTTCTCTTTCTGGGACTCATTGAATAAAGTATTTCCTAGACATATCCTTCAGTTGTCTTATTTTTATTCTCATTTTGCTCTTTCTAAGATTACATCATCTTTATCTTTCTGCTTTATCACATTTTATGCCTGCTTCTTTTTTAATTTCTAAAAGTTCTTTTGTTGTTTTTGTCCATGAAACTGGATATTAATTATTTCTCTTAGGTTTTCTCCTCCCTTCACAGACTGGATTCTTCAAGTTGATGTTTTTGTTTGTTGGATTTGGTATTTTTATTTTATGCTGGAGTCTTTCCTCAGAAATGTAGTGCTCCTTGGTGGTCTAAAAAGCTGAGTGGAAGCTTTCAGCAAGCAAAGCTTAGAAACCTGGATTTCCTGGGAATCTGGCTCGGGCCACGTCCTTGAAGAATCCTAGATGTCAGTATCTTTATTACTTTCCCCTTAGAGTAGGCAGAGTTCCCAGGGAAGAATCTTCAAATCTTACACTTAGGTGATATACTAGTATATCTGGGAACCAAACAGGTGAAGATGGCTGAAAGGTTCTCACCACTCAGTACCTATGCTTAGCTTATGTTTCCCTCTGTGTTTGGGCTACCCCTGTTTAAGGACCCTTTGTCTTATGCTGTCTAGAAAATGGCCTTAGAATAGTCTGTGAGGTGATGGAGGAAAGCAAGCCATCCAGCTTCACAGAGCAGGGAAGGGAATTGAGTATCTAACTGCTTCAGCTTTTTACCAACCCTGTTTTTAGCCTTATATAATTCCTCAGTTACAAAGGTACCTCATTAGCAAGTCTTTGGAGGGATTTGGAGTGTGTGTCAGGTTACTTTTCAGCTTTCCACACTGTTAAGGATATATCTTTCTCAAGTATACAGTCTGTCAACACTAATACACCTGCTTTTCAGCAAAATTTTGTTACTACTGCTTCCTATCCTATTTTCTTTGCCCTTGTCGATTTATGTCTTTTAAAAAAAATTCTTTTACTGTCATTTCAGTGATGCTACAGTAGGGAACAAATGTAAGCGTGTGCATTCAGGGCTGTCTTTACCCCGCAGCTGTACGTACTCCTATGCAATGTCCCTCTCATTTGCCCTCTTTGCCTTCTCACTTGCTCCACTACCCCGGCGCATTTGATCTCTCCAGTTACTTTCATTGGCTATAATATGGAAAGCTGAAAATTTTTAAAGTGTTTATTGTTATCTGGTGATCTAAAACGAGCTTCACTTTTTGTATTTCTCTTATCCCATGCCTAAATCCATATTCAAATAAATTGCATTTTGCTACTGTAGTTCACAAAGCATTTTCACATACATTTTATTTCTAAAAACCTCACTGCAAGGATGGGAGAGAAATGCTTAAACAGTAGGTCTGTAATCTCTCTTCTCTTTGAGGGGGAAGAAGAGGATGCCTCCAGGAAAGAAATTTCTTTACACACATGCTAATTACAGACCTTCTGGGAACAAATGAATGGTACTTGCTAGCAAGAGAACCCTTTTAGGAAGAAGGGAGTGATTTAAATAACAGAAACTTATTTTCTCACAGTCTGAAAGCTAGAAGTCCATGCTCAAGCTGTTGGCAAGAGAATCCTTATTTACAGACTGCTTATAGCAGGATGCACTGGCTTTGCTAGGATTGCTTATGATTAATAATCCTGGAACCTATGGATTTAGAGGGCCTGGTTCCCTGAAAAATGCAGGTGTTTCATGATAAAATGACTTCCTTTTGTGTAAGTACTTAGAAACGTCTTATGTTAATCCCAGCTAGAGTGGGTTCTGAAGTAGAAATAAATACCTGGGAGCTGATTTGGCCAGCCCAGAGCTCTGGCTGCTTTGCCTCTGCCTCAGGGTCATTTATATACTTCCATCATTAGCAAAGCTTGATGTTGGCTAAAATCACTGATTTGAAAAAGTGTGATTTGATAACCCATTCTTTTGTGCTTTCCACAAGGAACTTGAGGTTCAGAGTGGTTAACTGACTTGCTGAAAGTCACGTGCTAAAAAATGGCCCAATAGGGCCAGAAACCAAGTCTTAAATCAGATGCTCTGTCCCAATGACACATGCTAGGGTGATGGAACAACATCAATAACAATAAAATCTGGGTTCTAGAATCAAAAACAGACTTGCCTCCTGGTTCTGCAACTGATGAGCTGTTTGATTTTGGGAGAATTATTTACAACATTCAAAGCCTATTTCCTTACCTATGCAGTATCTCTTACATAAAACAGGAAAGATATCTTAGTGATAAACGCAATTGAACAATAGATAAGCATGACACAATACACACATTTCCAAACATTTGTAAAGAATGAAGAGAAAAAAGGCATCACTTACTTTTTTCTTGTAGTGCCTGCAATTTATTCAGTTCCTCATTCTCTTCATCACTCTCTTCACTGCTTGTGCTGCTCACATCCAAGACTATGTCCCTCTTGGGGTCTACTCGGAGGAAATTGCGGCATTCAAAAGTCAGGTGACCAGCTAAGTAAAAGGAAAAAACATGAATGACAAAATGATACATTACATAATTATTGTTGGTTGTCTCCTGGTGAGCAACAAGCTGCAATTTTAATAATATAATGTTTAGTTTTAACGTTTACTAGTGGGTGGTGGTTTGCTTTCCCTGAATGTAATGCTAAGAAAAAGAACTTTTCCTTTTTTCATCAGGGCTTCTAATTCAATAAGCATTATTTTTGGGTACTGAATTACTATAGTTTTCCATTTTATGTAATACTAGAGGCCCGATGCACGAAATTCATGCAGGGGGGTTGGGGGAGTGTGGCCCTCAGCCCGGCTTGAACCCTCTCACCATCCGGGACCCCTCAGGGGATGTCCAACTGCCACTTTAGGCCCAATCCCTGCAGTCGAACATCCGGCAGTCGGACATCCCTCTCGCAATATGGTACTGCTTGCCTCTAACTGCTCACCTGCTTGCCTGCTTGCTCCTAACTGCTCGCCTGCCTGCCTGCTCAGTGAGCGTCATAGCGAGTGGCCGTTCCAGTCGTTCTGCCATAACAGTCACTTAGGCTTTTATATATATAGAAGACTAGAGGCCTGGTGCATGGATTCGTGCATATTGAAAGGAAATTAATTAGAAGAAATATTTTAGAGGCCAGGGAGGGGCCACGGGAGATTGGCTGGCCAGGGAGGGACTGCGGGATTGGGTGTGTCTGGCCCTTCTTGCCCAGTCCTGATCAGCCGGACCCCAGCAGCAAACTAAACTACTGGTCGGAACGTCTGCCCCCTGGTGGTCAGTGCACGTCATAGCGACTGGTCGAACAACAATCAGACAGTGAGCATATTAGGCTTTTATTATATAGGATTATAAGAAAATACTCTCATATTAGGATTTTATATTTAACTAGTGGCCCGGTGCACGAAATTTGTTCGGGGGGAGGGGGGTGAGGGGGGGAGAGGGTGTCCTTCAGCCCAGCCTGAACCCTCTCCAATCTGGGACCCCTTGAAGGATGTCCTACTGCCGGTTTAAAGGGATCAGGCCTAAACCAGCAGTCGGACATCCCTCTTGCAATCTGGGACTGCTGGCTCCTAACCGCTCACCTACCTGCCTGCCTGATTGCCCCTAACCATTCTGCCTGCTGGCCTGCTTGGCCCCAACTGCCCCCCGCTGCCGGCCTGCTCACCCCCAAATGCCCCCCCCGCCAGCCTGCTCACCCCCAACTAACCCCCGTGCCAGTGTGGTTGCCCCTGACTGCACCCCCTGTCGGTCTGCTTGCCCCCAACTGCCCCCCCTGCTGGTCTGCTCGCCCCCACCTTCCCTCCCCACTGTCCTGCTCACCCCCAACTGCCCCCCTGCTGGCCTGCTCACTCCAAACTGCCCCCCCCCCGCAGTCCTGATCACCCCCAACTGACCCCCACTGACGGCCTGCTTGCCCTAACTGGCCTCCCTGCTGGTCTGCTCATCCCCAACTGGCCCCACCCCCCACCGCCAGCCTGATCACCCCCAACAGCACCCCCCACTGGCCTGATCACCCACAACTGCCCTCCACTATTGGCCTCTAACCACCTCTACCTTGGCCCTGCCACCATGGCTTTGTCCAGAACGTCCAGAAGGCCTCCTGGAAGGTCTCCCAGCCTAATTAGCATATTACCCTTTTATTAGTATTGAGGCCTGGTGCACAGGTGGGGGCCAGCTGGTTTGCCCTGAAGGGTGTCCTGGATCAGGGTGGGGTCCCGCTGGGGTGCCTGGCCAGCCTGGGTGAGGGGCTGAGGGCCGTTTTCAGGCTGGCCACACCCCCTTCAGGGTGGGGGTCCCCACTGGGGTGCCTGGCCAGCCTGGGTGAGGGGCAGATGGCCGTTTTCAGGCTGACCATGCCCCCCAGCAACCCAAGCTCCCAGCCTCTCCTTTTTTTTTCTGGGATTTATCTTCTATAATTGAAACTTTGTAGCCTTGATCAGAGCCCCTCCTTTAGCGGAGGCCACGGCCAGCTGGAAGCAGGTATCTGGGATTTATTTATCTTCTATAATTGAAACTTTGTAGCCTTGAGCAGAGCTGAGGGCCAGGCAGGGCAGGTGGGAAGCCTGGCTTCCTCCATTGCCAGGGGCAACCCAAGCCTCCTGTTCGCTCTAGCTCCATGGCCGCCGCCATCTTAGTTGGGTTGATTTGCATACTCTCTCCTGATTGGCTGATGGGTGTGCCTTGTGGGTGTAGCGGAGTGGCAGAGTGATGGAGTGATGGTTAATTTGCATCTTTCTCTTTTATTAGTGTAGATGAAGTCTGTATGATATCAGTTCTTTGGTATTTGCTGAGATTTCTTTTGTGTTCTTCCATATTGTACATTTATATATTTTAAAAGAATATACATCAATATTTGTTGAATAGGGTTCTATGTCTATTTTATCATTCAAATCTTCTCTACCTTATATTTTTATCTAATAACTTCTGAAAGTAGTTAAATTTTTAAGTACCTTTATCATAGATTTATTCATTTCTCCTTGTGAAAGCTTTTGCTACACATATTTTGAGATTATATTAGTAAGCAAATCTTCTTAGATTATTTATTATTAATAAATTTATTAATTTATCTTCTTGGTTGATTGTTCTTGAATCTCTCTTTATCCCTAGTACTACTCTTGCTTCAAAAGTCTGATATTAAAATTGCTCCACTAGTGTTTTTTGGTTATTAGTTGAATCATATGAAGTAACAATTTTTATGAGTGAAACAGCTGAATCTCAACAAGATTCAACCTAATATCTGTTCGCCCCACCCCTTTATTTTAAAATTTTCTAAGCAGTTTTTAGTTTTCTACATAGTTTTAATAATGACATGTAAATAGAATTAAGTTTTTTAATGTAATGTGATACCAGTCCAATATTTAATGTTAATTTTTTTAGCTTGGGAAAACAGTTTCTGCCTCACTGGGTGGTACCTTCATAAAGGGGATCAATGCCTTCCTTATAAAAGGGACTCCAAAGTGATCTTTGGCCCCATCCCCTATGTGAGGATAAAACAAAAAGCTGGTGACTTGGAGAGGGCCTTCACCAGACCATGCTGGCAACCTGATCTCGGACTTGCAGCCTCTGGATCTGTGAGCAATACATTTATTTGTTTATAAGCTGCCTGGCCTGTGATATCCTATATAATAAAAGCCTAATATGCTAAGTGTCAGATTGTCCGGTTGTCTGTTCAACCAATCAAAGCTAATATGCTAATGATATGCTAAGACCACTGAACTGCTCACTATGACGTGTACTGACCACCAGGGGGCAGACAATCAGTCGACCAGTAGCCATGACATGCATTGACCACCAGGGGGCAGACACTTCGACTGGTAGGGTCTGGCCAATCAGGACTGAGTGAGATGGCCAGACATGCCCTGGAGCCCTCCTGCGGTCCTTCTCCAGCTGGTTAACCTCCAACGTCCCTCCCTGGCCTGGCGATTGTGCACCAGTGGGGTCCCTTGGCCTGGCCTGTGCCCTCTTGCAATCTGGGACCCTTCAGGGGATGTCGGAGAGCCACTTTCAGCCCGGAGGTGGAACAACTGGTCGCTATGATGCACACTGACCACCAGAGGGCAGACACTCAACCCAGGAGCTGCCCCCTGGTGTAAGTGTGCTCCCACAGGGGGAGCGCCACTCAGCCAGAAGCTGGGCTCACAGCTGGCTAATGCAGCGGCAGTGGTGGGAGCCTCTCCTGCCTTTGCGGGCCTAAGCTGTCAGTTGGACATCCCCCGAGGGCTCCTGGACTGCAAGAGGGCACAAGCCGGGCTGAGGGACACCCCCTCAACTGCACGAATTTCGTGCACCGGGCCTCTAGTTCTGTATAACAGCCCACGTGCACTGAGGCAGTTCCATACTTTCCTCATGTAAATTTCTGGAAAACAGAGACATCACAGACTCTCTGCACTTTTCTTATTCCTCACCATTCAGGCCTGAATCTACATTGTTTGTTCTATAACCTACAAATCAACTTAAGCTAATCTTACTAAGGTCAGCAAGCATCCTACCTGGCAAATCCAATGAACATTTCAAAGTCCACTTCTTACTGATCTTATCTGTCACACCTGACAATGGCCCTCAATTTCAAAAAGTTCTGTGCTTCTTTGACTGATGTGCGGTTGCCCTCTCCTGCTCCCCCCTGGCATGTACTTCCCTTGTCACCTTTTCCTCAGCTCATGCCTATACATTTTACTCCATATGCTGCTATTGTACTCCCCTAAGAGTTGGTTACTATTTCAAAATGTGCTTATATAACATCATGCAGGCCAAAAAATGTAAGTGTGGAAAAGATAATGAGTGGTAATTTCTATGAAACAAAGCTGTACTTTTTCTTTAGAAAGAGTTGATTTAGATGAATTGCTTTTAAAAAGCAGTTTTCAAAATAGGCTTTGGCAAGAAGATTGTACAAGATGGGGACTGGGGGGAACTAAAACAATGAAAAAATGGCCTGTTTCTCAAAGGGGATACCATTAGTATTTTAGGCCAAGCAATTCTTCATTGTTTAGGAATGTCCTACACATTGCAGGTCGTTTATAGTCCCTGGGCCCTACATACTAAAAATGTCATATTGCTCCCCACCCCTATGGACAACAACAAAAACACCAAAAACTCCAGATTTCTGGAAGGCTTTATCACCCCGAGTTGAGAACTAATGATAGAAGAATTTTGCACTCAGATTTCTTTACAAGTATATTAATTGTTTCTCTACCTTTGAAGAAACAACAAAGTGGAAAATGCATTTCAGACATGATTTGCACTCAAAAGACTGTGTAACACCAATTAGCAGATCCACAGACAAAAGGTCATGAGTATATATCAGTAGATTAGGATTTTAAATTACATAAAATGTTAGGGTATTCAGGTATGTTTTTATTTCTTGCTTCTGTAATCAAATGCTCAGCTAGAGTTTACAAGAACACTAAGCCATTGTCCATAGAATACATGTCTCAAATAATGTCTTCCATGGACAAAGGCTAGTGTCCTTGTAGCTTTTCAATTTTCAGAAATTGCCAATTAAAAATAAATAAATAAAACTCATTATAGAAATAACCATTCTTCTAATGTTGCTGAAGAAATTCTGCCATGAAAAAAGTGAGATCCACGTTATTTAGTAGCACATTCATCCTTAACTTGAAAGTTTTAAAAACAGTATTAACTACTATTGAAGTATTGACAAAATATTTTTCTATTTTTCTTTTTCATTGAACTTAGAGACAGAGAGAAGAAGGGAGGGAGGGAGAGAGAGGAACAGAGGGAGGGGAAAGAGAGCAAGAGAAAAAAAACAATTTGTTGTTCCACTCATTTATGCATTCATTGGTTGTTTCTTGTATGTGCCCTAACTGGGTATCAAACCTTCAACCATGGTGTGTATGGGATGACACTCCAACCAATTGAGCTACCCAGATAGGGCTGAAATTTTTTTAAATCAAGTATTAACATTTTTAAAAATTATAAAATCAAACCCCTGTTTTCACAACAATAAAAAGAGATAATACTCTTTTGTAACTGACTGATGAAAATCTACATTTTCAGCCATTAAAAACATTCAAAGGGTTTTGTTAACCTTTCTCTTACCTCCATAAGCAATACAAAGGTTCTGGCCTCCAGGTAACAGAAAATTTTAAAAATTTAGTTTCTACCAGAAAGATTTGTAAATGAAGAAGACCCTCAACCTCTAACAGCTGTAAGATGTAAGTTTAACCCAGAGGAAAATATTACTAAACTTTTCCACAGCAGACAAATTAGAAGTTGTTTAATAACTTAATTACTAAAATCAACGATCTGAAAAACCAAGCAGAACTCAACTTGGAATACTGTCAACACTATTTCCTTACTAGGCTTCTCTAAAAAAATTCTGCCCTGGCCAGTGCGGTTCAGTTGATTGAGCATCATCCCATGCACCAACAGGGTGCTGGATGGATTCCCAGTAAGGGCGCATGCCTAGGTTGTGTGCTCAATCCCCGGTAGGGAGGCATGCAGGAAGCAGAAGATCAATGTTTCTCATCTCTCTCTTTCTCCCTCTCCCTCTGTCTCTGAAAATGAATAAAAATATTTTTAACAATGTCTAATTACTACAGATGCTTCTGTTAATGTCTAAAATAAAATAGCAATGCGGAGACTAGATCAACAAATATTCTATTTCAAAAAAAAATTTTTTTAATTGTTTTCCTACAGGTTTTAAGCTAAAAGAAGTCCAAGTAGATAAACTGATAGTAGACAGACTGGCTATCCTGGATTTAAAGTAAATACAATAAATACAGTAGGTTCTTAAGTCTTGAATAAAGAAATGAGACATGGAAATTAGCAAGGATTGGAAGAAAGTAAACAAAATAGAAATAAATATAAACAAATTTAAACAGAAAAGATTTCATTGCACTCATTCTTTACATGCAAGTACATTCTTCAGAAGTTTTTATTTATATGAAGAATACGTGTACTTAAGTACCCACTTTATTAATTGAGCAAGCTTCCCTTGATCCAGGTTCCAACCTTTGATTGGAGGCATGTGAGTTGGTTCTCCCAGTGTGCCTTTATTCTAAATCCTTCTGATGAGTAATATTAATGACTAGATTGCTTTTTTATCATGTGTTCTCGCATGTAAATCTTTTTTTAAATCACCTTTATTTTGTTAAAAAATAATTTATGACATTAACAATAATGTAGGCTCATTTGCATGGTCTCCAAACAACTTAAAAAAACAGAAAATATTATTATAGCTTTATCAAAGCCTTAGGGATTGCTACATTTAACTAGACAAATAGCTGCTTATAGTCCATAATGATAAATTCTGAGTATATAATTACACTTGTTAAAGTTTATTTTTCCATTCCATTAATCATAATAGAGATTAATGGACCATTTAAACCAAATTTTGTCAGTGAGTAGAAATTCTGGGTCCAATTTCACCTTTATAAAGGAGAGTAAGTTCAACAAATAGGAAATGTTTCATAAATAGTTTTCATTTAGTGCTGATCGATACATTTCTAAATCATCTGCAAACGTGCACTAAATAACAGGACTAAAGGACTGTGTGCGCAGGGCCCTGAAAGCTGGATGCTAAGTCACACTGCCCAACGAAATAATGATTCGCCATACACACAGTGCTATTTTTTAATGTACTTACGGTAACCACATTTTTTACACCCTGCTCGAACACTATCCTTGTTGCAACCTAAAATACAAATGGATAACATTTTAGGAGACATATTAAGTAAAAACACAAAAATTTTATCACTTAAGAAACCTAAAAAACCACTTGAAGAAATTATTTAGAAAAAAAAAATCATCTCAACCTAGCTTAGTAACATTACTCCATTATTATGTTTATTAGAAATTATTGAAAAAGTCAGTTTACTCAAGTTATTTCTTTTTTGTTTTTTTAAATACTTCAAAATTTTATTTATTTAAATCATTTAAAAAATTTCCAATATAGTTGACATACAAGATTACATTAATTTCTGACAGGTCCTTTTTCATGTCTTTGACATTCTTATTTTATTTTATTGCTTAAAGTATTACAAAGAGTAGTACATAATGTTCCTTTTTTTCCCCATTGACCTTCCCCCGGCCTCCCCTACCCGCCAGTATATTGCGTCCATGCTTATATGCATGCATACAAGTCCTTCGGTCATCAAATTATTTCTTTTAACAAATACTTTAAGAACATATTTTTCTCTAATTCAACAAATGCAGTGTCAACATATGCTGCACTGTGTGTGTTGTGAGCAGTGCCCATACACATCAGGTGTGACAACTTTCCATCTGATTTCATATCATGACCTTCCTACCATTACTTCAAAACAACGCACAAGCTGCAAACTTCAGGTCTTTTAAAGGTATAGTGCCCTATTTATTGCAGTTTTTATGTATCTTTTAACCAATTAAGATGTGCAAAATTATACTACTATTTTCATCAGGTTCCTATTACTTTTATTTATTTATCACGGATGAAGTTTTTGAGTACTGTGCCCAATCTCATTTTTCTCTCATAAATGTTATGGTTCTTATTGCATAGGGTAGGGACACATATGCTGTGTTTTTAGCAGAACTGTGGAATAAAACTGGATTAATAATAATAAAATCTGAGGCTCTTTCAATATGAAATAATTGCACATTGAAAAAAAATCTCAGAGAATCCAGGTCAATATTAAGTCTGTTTCCATAGAAACCATAGATACTGAATAACACTGAATAAAACTGTGCTAAATGCACATTACCATTCCTACAAAAAACTAAAAATGTTGTAATGACAGATCCGAAATGACCTCTCTGAGGCAGTATTAGAAATTAACTAAAAAAAAGAAGAAATTAACTCATTTATGACTTAAAGACATTGATAAAACTCCTATCATCCAAGTATCTCATATTTGTCGAATAAATGAAATATAAAACTTTTTCAGAGGTCATTTTTAACAAAGTTATAAATTTTACAAGAAAGGAAAATATAACAAGAACTCTAAATAAAGTAACTCCAGAGCTCTATTTCCTCATCAAATGTTGATAATTAAGATTTCAACCTTCATTTGTCTATAATTTGCATGAATGCCTGGTCAATGAAATGCTTCTTCTACCTGAAACTTAGAATCTGATGTAACTGATACAATACATGTGAGACAAATAAAGTGGGGGCAGCTCCTAATGGCAGTGATGATACTGGCTGCAGCAGCCCTATCCTGCTATAGGCCTGTGAAAGATCCTGGCTCTGGGTTCCCTTGGTCTTATGAATTTTCTGAGCCTTATTTTCCAGCCTTTGTGTAGACCCTGTGAGCCATACAATTGTACATACTCGAAATCCACCTCAAATTGAGTAGCAAGACTACAGTGTGAGGCCCCTACTGCTCAAAATGTTCCTTTATAATCATGACCCCTAATCCCCAAAAAGCCTTTGAATAAAAACTTATAAATATGACTGCATAAAAAATCTGAATGACAAAGACCACCAAAAATAAACTCAAAAGACACATGAACACTTGTAAAAAAATATTTGCAAATCATAGAGCCAACAAAGGATATTATCCCTACTATATAAATCCCATCAAATCATTAAGAAAAAGACCAATAACCAAAAGGGGAAAAATGGACAAAGAAACTGAACAGAAAGTTCACAGAAAAGGAAACAGAAACAACTTTGAAATATATGAAGAGATGCTCAGCCTTATTCTTACCAAGTAAAGTGTACATTAAAGTCTATACTGGGATTCTATTTTCACTTACCAGAATAGGGAAGATGGAAAGGGTGGAAGAGGGTTTGGGGGAACATACTCCTGAACACTGTTGGTAGGAGAGTAAGTCAGTACCATCTCTATGGAAAGCAAGCTATCAAAATCTGCCAGAACTCTCCACGTGCATACTCCTTAACCCAGCACTTCCACATCCAGAATTCATCCTCTCAACTTATGTGCACACACACTATACTGACTTATGTATAAAGTTATTCACCACAGCATTTTTTGTAACAGTAAAAGAATAGAAATAATTTAGACAAATTATGGTATGAAAGAATAAGGATGGTTTTTAATAATGGGCAATAATTTCTAAAATATAAAGAGAAAAGAGAAACATGTAGAACAGTGCTTATAGTATATTGCCATTTATACAAAAGAAGATTTAATATATATAATATAGATTATATAAGATTATATTTAAGGATAAAGTTATAAAAAAATCTTTATAAGGATATACACTGGTTACCTGAAGAACGGAGAACTGGGTCGTGGGGTAGAAAAGGTGGGAGACATCACTATACACCTTTTGGATCCTTTAAAATTTGAAACGTGTGAATAAACTGCCTTCTCAAAGACCCAACCAAAAGGCCTGACTCAAACCAAATCCTTACACAAAAAGAGGTGGTGTCATGCAAGCATTCTGTGACCAAAGGCAATGATTGCAGCTGTAAATATCTCAGAGAAGCTACATTGCAGATTTTCAATACAATTTTATTAACTGACTAGAGGCCCGGTGCACAAAAATTTGTGCACTCGGGGGGAGAAGGGGGGTCCCTCAGCCCGGCCTGTGCCCTCTCGCAGTCTGGGACCCTTTGGGAGATAACGACCTGCTGGCTTAGGCCTGCTCCCAGGTGGCAGAGGGCAGGCCCAATCCCTAGGTGCAGCCCCTGGTCAGGCTCAGAGCAGGGCCGATTGGGGAGTTGGGGCGCCGCCCCATCATGCACAGAGCAGGGCGGATCGGGAGGTTGTGATGCCACCCTCAGTCACGCTCAGGGTAGGGCCGATTGGGGGGTTGGGGTACCGCCCCCTGTCACACTCAAGGCAGGGTCGATGGGGAGGTTGCGGCACCACCCTCTGTCACACACAGAGCAGGGCCAATCAGGGGGTTGGGGCGCTGCCCCCTGTCACACACAGAGCAGGGCCCATCAGGGGGTTGAGGAGCTCCCCCTTTTCACTCACAGAGTAGGGCCAATAGGGGAGTTGGGGCACCGCCCCCTGTCATACACAGAGCAGGGCGGATCAGGGGGTTGGGGCGCCACCCTCTATCACCCACAGAGCAGGGCCGATTAGGGGGTTGGGGCGCTGCCACTGTCACACTCAGGCAGGGCCGATGGGGAGGTTATGGCTCTACCCCATCACACACAGAGCAGGGCCCGCGGGGGGGGGGGGGGTGGGGTGGGGGGGTGGGTTGGGGCGCCGCCCTCTATCACCCACAGAGCAGGGCCGATCTGGGGGTTGGGGAGCTCCCCCCTATCAGGCACAGAGCAGGGCTGATCAGGTTGGGGCGCCTTCCCCTGTCATGAACAGAGGAGGGTGGATAGCAGGTTGTGGCCCCGCCCCCTGTCACACACAGAGCCACAGGGCAATCAGGGGGTTTGGGCGCTGCCCCCTGTCACGCTGATCCTGGTGCTGGGAGGCCTTGCTGCTTCGCTGATCCCAGTGCCGGGAGGCATATTACCCTTTTACTATATAGGATAGAGGCCTGATGCATGGGTCGGGGCTGGCTGGTTTGCCCTGCAGGGTGTCCTGGATCAGGGTGGGGGTCCCCATTGGGGTGCCTGGCCAGCCTGGGTGAGGGGATGATGGCTGCTTGAAGCTGGTCACACACCCTTCAGGGTGGGGGTCCCCACTGGGGTGCCTGGCCAGTCTGGGTGAGGGGCTGAGGGCTGTTTTCAGGCTGGCAGGTGACTGAAGCTCCCAACTGCTCCTTTTTTTCTTTTTCCTTTTTTATTCTGGGCCAGCTTTAGCTCTAGCTCCAGCTCTGAGGCCTCTGCTGCTGAAAGCAGGTATCTGGTTTGTTTGGGTTCTATAATCGAAACACTGTATCAACTCCAGCTCTGAGATCTCGGCCGGCTGAAAGCAGGTTTCTGGGGTTTTGTTTAGCTTCTGTATTTGTAACTATGTTTCAAACTGCAAGCTCAGAGGCCGGCAAGGCAGGCGGGGAACGTTGGTTTCCTCTGTCACTGAAGCAAGCAAGCCTCAGGTTAACTTCAAGCTGCCTGGCTGCTGGCCGCCATCTTGGCTGGCAGTTAATTTGCATATTGCCCTGATTAGCCAATGCGAAGGGTAGCAGATGTATGGCTAATTACCATGTTTCTCTTTTAGTAGATAGGATGGTTTCAGAAACAAATTTTAGAGGTTTTTATTTCTTGTATTTGTTAAGTGTAGAAAAGGCTTACTTTGAATCTAGAAATCTATTAAACAACTTGCGTGGTAGGGAAGGTCACAGGTAATGGGGATAGTCCTTTACCTCCCAGTAACTTAAAGGGAAAAGATCAGTTTCTCGAAATTCTGGACCATGCCAGATAATTTTGTATACAACTCAGTACTTAGCATAGTGTAGAGTTCTTATGAAGTCTTCAACAAATATTTGAGGTTTGAGGTAAAATTAAGAAAATACTTCAGCACTGGGGAACAGGTAACTTCTGTAGCTCCCAGTTGACATGAAACTAGATAGTGTCTGCAGTGTCACTGGCCTATCTGAGGCATGATAGGCAGAGGAAAAGGAATAAAAGAAGGATAATAGAAATCAAAATAACAATTGCTGGGCAGGGGAAGGGGAAAAGGCAGAGGTAGGTACATGGCAACTTTCTGAGGTGATAGAAATAGTCAAAATCTTGATCTGGGTGATAGGTAGAAAAAAATATATACATATATATATATATATATATATATATACACATATATATATTTATATACAATTCTTCAAGCTGTACATTTGTGATTTGTGTCTTTAAACATGTAAATTATACCTTAGTAAAGTAGTTAGCATAAAAGGGAAAAAATAAGTTGGGCAAAGAAGGAAGAAGAGAAGAGATAAAGGTTAGAGAAGACTAAGAAGTAGGAACAATGAGTAAAGGAATGAGCAAATGTGAGAGAAAGGGAGAGAATACCCCTCACAGTTGCCTCAGGTTGTTCAGTGGTTCCCAAAGGTATGGCAAGCCATCATATTGACCTAAATTTATTTTCTTGAAATTTCCTATCAACTAATGTTTCCAAAGTCAACAATTTAGTCATTGGAAAGTAAACAGTGACACTTGAAACTGAATATTTCTCTCTTATTATTTCTGACTTTGGGAAAGGCTGTCAAAGTTTTCTTTATATGAAAATATCTTCTGTAATCATTTAAATTTAAAATTAAACAGCTTAAGTAACTAAGTTTTCTTTCTATTAAGCAGTTGGTAATTGCAATCACCTCTGTCCATTCTTTACCTTTTTAATTTGATTCGATTTGATTCTTTTTCTGTTTGTAACACTTGAAGTTTTATACTTGGCTACTCCATTATAGTTTCAGTTACCATAATTTAGGGACCCTTAAAGAAAATTAAATGTATAAAAATGCTTTCATTCACTTGCCTCAGAAAATACAAATAACTTGTGAAAAAAAAAAGCTATAGGTAGTACTACTTTAGACTAAGAAGAGACATGGAGATGTTTAATTATTATCTAATGAAACAGAATCAAGATTGCTGTCAAGTTTAGTCTGTTTATTTGAGTACTAGATTCCACTCAGCAGCAATTCTAATGATTAACCCACTAAACATTATTTACCTACTATGGATAGAATCTGAAATGATGTTAGAGAAACCATAAAGATGAGTAAAGTTCCTACAGTAAAGGAAACGATATTATACTAGGTTAGGATAATGTACCCACAGCTGTAATACATGCTAGAATGTGCCAGTATAAGACACATAGTTCTATTAACAAGCAGGAAGACTGGCAGGCAAGACTCTCAGCTGAGGGATCAGCAAAGTTTCCCACAGGTAGGTAGCACAGTAGAGGAGGAACAGTGAGAACAAAGTTTGTACGTAGAAAAGCACAGGAGAGGTTCTGGGCATAGCTGGCCATGTCTCTAGACTGTGGAATGCGCCAGAGGAGAGATGGGAGGACAGGGTAGCAGGAGCAAGCACTTCATTCTCCCAGAGATGGGAGCTTTGGCATTACAAGAATTTATTACAACTCCTTCATTACAGAGACAAGGAAATGGAGCCTCAGGAAGGGTAAGTCACATGAAGAGACACTAAATTCACAAGTACGAGTCAATGACAGGATCAGGTATGATTTAGGAAAATTATTTCAGCAGCAATGTGCAGCACAGACTAGAGAGGAAAGAAACGACTTCTGCGTGAGAAGACTGGATGCAGTGTGATTCAGAGTTCTTCTATGCTAAGACGCTATAGCAATGCGTTTTAAGAATTTCACTCACTTTGATATATCAGATGTAACGTTAATTTGGCTACAGAAAACCCTACCTTGGCTATATAGATTTCTCTGAAGAAGAGAAACAAATAGAGTTTTTGTGCCAGCCACATCAGTAACATAGATGCCAACTGTGCCAGGTCAACTCTTCATGGGGAATGGAGACTCATTAAAATGAGAGTCAGAACTAATTTCAAGCAGTTTCTAGAAGAAAGTAAACTTCACTGAAGCCTGTGTTTAAATGTAATTTCTTTAATAACAGCTAAGAGCCTATGATTTCCCTTGCCAAGAGAGTACGTACTTCATTGTTAGTTACATAATGGTGTAAGCTTATACACAATGCTGTGGAAAAACAGCTGAAGCAGGTGACCACAAAATAGGCGAGGCTGATTTTCATTGTACTTTATAGCAGCCTCTTTACTTTATAGTCATGCCTTGTAATAATCACTAGTACAACCACGTAGGACATGCCATGCTGAATCCATATGATCATTACACCTACAAACAAAAGGCATAACAATACTTGTCCTTCTTGATGATTATCTCAAAATGTTTCTGATGGAGCCCTATTTCCATTAATACACTATCTGGATCAATCAAGAAATTATCTTACCATTTTCTGTGTCTATATTTTCTAATGGCACTTGCATTATATTTCTGCAGTGCTATCATCCTTTTTTTTTTTTTTTTTTCTGGGTTTAAACCAAGCATGTCAAGCTCAAAGGCTTGACAGGGGGCGGCGCCCCAACTCCCCAATTGGCCCTGCTCTGAGCCCGACCAGGGGCTGCACCTAGGGATTGGGCCTGCCCTCTGCCACCCGGGAGGGCCAAATAAACAAGGTTTAAGTGTATGTGGCTGCAAAAAAACCAAAAGCTTCAATTTTCATAGAAATGTAGGTTTATTTCCATAGAGACATGCTGAATACAAAGGGCTGAAATAAATGAGTAATAGACATGTTAACTTTCTTTCAATTCAAAATTATAGGTTAAAGTGTAACAATTACTTCTAACTGGTGACTTTGCCTTCAAAGTAGCTCCCCTCCAATCCAATATGCAGTCAGAATGATCTTTCCAAAATGTGCATCTGTTTTAAAACCTTTAAAAGGCTTCCTATCCTCCTCAGGAAAACATTCAAACTCTGTCACACTTACAAGATCCTTTAAGAGCTGGAAACTACCTTGTAATTTATACTGTAACATGGCAAACTGTATAAAGCACACAGGGTCTCAGGCACAGACTGACCTGTCACTTACTAGCTGCCTCATAATAGGCAAGTTCCTTGATTTCTCTGCCCTCAGCGTCCTCGTATGTAAAGTGGAAATGCTAATAGCTGTTTCACAGTGTGACTGTTAAAACGAGATAAAACCCGACATGTGCCACAGTGTCTGACACGTAGCAAAAGCGTCGTGAATACTAGCTGCTGTTATCTCTCTAGCTAATTTCTCACTTCTCTTCCATTTATATTCTATATTCTGAGTCCCATCCACAGTGAACGTCTCTCATTTCCTCCCCTCACACATTTGCAACTGCCCCTCCCACCACTCCCCCCCTCCTGCACCTCTCCAGGTCTCATCCCAGGTGCCACTTCCCCTGGAGAGTCCTTCTGGCTCCCCCCGGCTCCCCCCGGCTCCCCCCGGCTCCCGTTAGGTGGCCTTACTGTGTGCTGCTGGAGGTTCTGTACCCTCCCTGCCACACACTGGCCTGAGTTTCTGGTACCTGTTCACTCTTTACTGCTCTTCAGTAAGTTCAGTTTGAAGAATAACCGTCTTGCTCACCACTGTATTCCCAATGCTTGGCACAGGCAGCGCCTAGCACGCAGCAGGCACTTCAGAAAGTTATGTGTGTGAATGAGTGTATTTTCCCCCAAACTACAGTGGGTGCACAGCTTTCCCACAGCGGCTCTCTGTACAATAAGGTGCAGAACAGGCGTGGTCACATAACACTGGGAGGGGTGGGCTGAAACACAGTTAGAACTTCTGAACCACAGCATGTCCCAGTCTTTTCTATGCTAACGTGCACTGCCAATCTCCAAGGTCCCCGTGTGTGTGTGTGGGGGGCGGGGGGGGCGGGGGGGCAGAGAGAGAGGGGAGTACATTTCTCAATCATCAGTGTCCCCTGCCAGCAGAGTTCCTTACGCACATCCTGGCAAAACGGGGTTCAGGAGACGCCCCCTTCCCCCCCACTGGAACTTCCGAGTAAGGGGGTGGTTGCGGGCGGGAGATCTCTGAAGCACTGACTTGGCGGGGTTCACTGTTTTGGGGTCGGCACCCACTGGACGCAGAATCTGAGGGCTGTTGGCAACCACAGACATAAATGAACAAATCTACAGCAAATGCAGAAGCGGAGGCCCACGAGGGCAAAGCGACGGGCGCGCGGCCACGGAGCAGCTAGTGCAACAGGAAGCGCGGAACCCGGACGCCGTTCCGGCCGGCGGCCCCAACCACAGACAATGCCCCCGGCCGGCTGGGCACGCCTGGCGCCCCCCCCCCCACCCCCCCAAATGTCTTATTTTCAAACCCTATCGGAGGAAGGTCGGCTCTTCTCGGCCACCCGCCAGCCAGGCCTCTGACTGCCCCACCCCCACCCCCGGCTTCTCTGGGACCATCCAATGCACTGGAAGCCTGGCGGGGGCGGCGTAGACAGTTTCTTTCTTTCCTACTTTCCATCTGAGTTTATTTTTGGAGTGTAAACTTGTCCACGTAAACCAAACGATCCTGCGCATTTTAAAGCCTCCGCCTACAGCCCCCCGGGCGCTACTGCCCACCCTGCGCACCCCAACCTCCCCTCCCCGCTTCCTTCCCCGCTCAAACCCAGGGGGCCTGCTGTCCGCACTTCACCTGGGACTGCCATGGCGCTGGGGACGGGATCGCAGGAGCCCTGGGCTTCGAGGGCACGCTCGCTTCCCGCCGCCGGCTGCGAGGCCGACGCGCTGCGAGGGTGGCGTCTCCTCTGCCCCGCGCCGCGGCACCTCGGCGGCAGTCGGGGAGGCCCTCCGAGGCGCCCGGAGAGAGGAACCCAGGAGCCGCCGCTGCGGTTTCCGGGGGAGCCCTATTGCAGAGCACGCGGGCCGAACCATTCCTGCCAGTTTCGGGGGAGCAGGGATGCCTGCAGACGCATGTAGAGAAGGAAACAACACCAAGACTTAGGAATCGTTATTTGAAAAGTTGTCATAGAAATTAAAGTTATCTATACAGGATCTTAATGCTTTTTCTCGTTCCCTGGAGGACATTGGGATCCCCCTGCTCGGGATTAGCGGTGCTCGAACCCCGGAGCAACATGGCGGCGTCCGTGAGGGGCTAGCTATGGGCAAAGATAGTGTTGGGTGTCGTTTTCTCTTGGGTTATTGACGGACTGGAGCTTTCCGCGACCGAACGACGAAAGGAAGTGTGATAAGTGGGTAACTTTAGCGACCGGCCGCCCGCGTTCCTCCTCAATTAGGAGCCGAGTCCTGGGCACTGACCAGCATGAGCAATATCTACATTCAGGAGCCTCCCACGAACGGGAAGGTGAGAGCCCCGCCTAGGATACCTGGGTCCCCCAAAGTGACACCTCACCGAGTAAGGGAGTCCTAGGGGTGGGCGGGACCACCAGGAGGCTTGTCTGTCCTCCGGCCTCCGACCAGGATGGCATCGAAAGCCATCTGTTGGCACTTGTCAGCACAGGCACACTTAGAAAAAGTCCTCAAGTGGGGATGTCTCCATCGACCCGCCTGCGGCCCTGTTTCTAGCCTCAGCCTAACTCCTGCAGGCGAGGGTCTTAGGTAGAAACCTAAACACACGAGCAGATCTGACTTAATTCTACATCCATTGAACGAGGCGCCTGACACTGTACTAGGTGCTGGGGATACACAGACGGATGGATGAGGTCTAGCTGTTGCCCCGGACGAGCTTATGGTTTAGTTTGGAGGCTGACAGGTAAAGGAACATCTTATGCCATGTCTAGTAGGCGTGCTCCCGAGAGAGGGGCACGGTGCTAATGGGAGAACTGCGAAGTGCGCAACTGGGGAGGTAGGGGAGAGCTTCGTGGAGGAGGTATGGCTGCTGGTCTTAGAACGTGAGGTCGTTGTCAGCCATAGAAAGTGGGGCCTGGGAAATGTTCCCACATTGGACTGGGAGAATAATGTTCTGGTTGATTTGATCGTCAAGGTGTGTCAGTTCTCCTCCAAGGTGTTCACATGCGGTATGAAGTAGAGGAGTCGGTAAGGTAATAAGTATCACCTGAATTAATCTAAGACCTAGTCTGTGTCATCACGTATGAAACATGATGAACTAGCAAAATGTAGACAATAGTGGGGCTGAATTAGGGTGAACTAAATTTATATCAGGTATAATTCTGTTGCATGACTAGATCATGTTACTTATGCAATCTTTTGTTGATTGACATTTGGTAATATAATGAGGGCAATTTGAAAATAATAACAGAAGTTTTGTAATTGATAGTCCCAGCAAAAATTTTAGTAGGTATTTTGGGCAAAGCAATTATTTTAATTCTTGGTTGTTTGAACTTTTTTTTACTCTTCACCCTTACCCTGCATCATTGTAAAAATTCAGAATAGCTACCTTCTTTAATTTCCAAATGTTTATTTTTTAGGGTGATAATCATCCCCAGTTGATAAATACTGGTAGGGATTGGATACATTGCCTATCCTGCTAGGCAGGGTCTTCATAATTGTGGTTCCTTTCTCTGATATACTCTTTAGCCTGCACAAATGTCACTTTAACAGAGGCCTTTCCTATCTACTCTTTTATAAAATAACAAACCTCATTTATGTTCTGCATCCCAGCATTCCCTGGTCCCCTTAACCTCTTTAGTTTTTTCTATTGTTTACTAGAGGCCCGGTGCACTGATCTGTGCACCGGTGGGGTCCCTCGGCCTGGACCGTGGGGATTGGGCCAAAACCAGCTCTCTGACATCCCCCAAGAGGTCCCGGATTGCGAGAGGGCGCAGGCCAGGCCAAAGGACCCCACCGGCGCATGAATCTGTGCACTGAGCCTCTAGTATGCATTTAAGATCTTTGGTTAATTTCTTCCTACCCTCCCCTTCCCTCTGAGATTCATCAGTCTGTTCCATGTTTTCATGCCTGTGGTTTCTGCTCCTACATTAAGCATCTGCCCCCTGGTGATCAGTGCTCATCATAGCTGTTGGCCGGGCTGGTTACTTAGGCTTTTATATATAGAGATTGTCTCCTGCCCTTATCTTTCTCCTCCCGTCTCGCCTCCCCTTCCCCAGGATGCAAGCACTACAAAAGCAGAGATAAACATCTAAAAATGGTACTTGACACATGGTAGGAAATGTTCAAATATGTACTGAATGAATTAATTAATACTATTTCTCTCTTCTGAGAAATATCAAGCATCAGTGAGTTTGTGGTTATAATGCTGCTTGTCAAGGGCAGATTTAGTTGCTTTACTCTGAAGGAAGATTTTACATGGTCATAAAGATGAAAACCTTTAACAAAGGTACTGCCTGAACAGGAGATCTTTCATTCTACAAATATTTATTGAGCATCTAGCAGGTGCCTGGCTCTATGTTCGGTTTCAGATACCAATGAAAAGAAAAACCACCATTGTCCCTAATATAATGGAGTCAGTTGAATGAAATGTATATTGATCAAATAATCAAGCAAATAAGTGTCTGCAAACTGATAAATATTGTCCTGAACAGAATTGGGTTGAGGGAGAATATCAGGCATGACTCAAGTCTTACTTCAAAAACAATTTTGGAGAAACCAAGATGGCGGCATAGGTAAACACTGGAGTTTGCTGCCTCGACCAACCACTTCAAAAATACAACTAAAAGACGGAATGGACATCACCCAGAACCACAGGAAGGCTGGCTGAGTGGAAATTCTACAACTAGAAGGAAGGAGAAAAGCATACCGAGACTCAGAGGAGGCACAGTGCAGAAGTAAAATAATACTAAGGTGCAGAGGTGCATGCGGAGCGGGCTGGCGGCTGAGGGCGCGGTTGTCGTTTTCAATTGGGAGGGAGTCTCAGGCTCTGAGCTCCAGTTCCTGGGGAGTCTCTAGGGACCCAGACTCATGCAGGAGAAGCGGGACTGTCTGGCATCAGTCGGAACTCAAGGGCAGCTTTCTCTCGGAGGGGCTTGCAGCGATTACCGGGACATTGAGAAGCAGAGCCTCTGACAGCAGGACTGAGAGCAGCCATAGCTGCTAGCCCCGCCCTGTTGATCCTGTGGGACCCACCCCACCCAAGCCCTGCAGGGAGGCCTTTGCTGGATAGCCTCAGGCAAAGGCTAGATTAGCACCTCCCTAGAGATCCAGGAGCCAGGAAACCCAGAGGTCAGAGTGGGATCATCCAGTTTGCAGCTCCATGGAACCATAAAGGACACACTCAGGGGGCAGACTCAGTGAGCACCAAAGCCCCATTGAAGCAAGTCTTGCCCCAGAGGGGTATCTCCAGCACAGAAGTTCTCCCACTGCAGACACAGTTGATTCTCACAGCCAATTGGCCTGGAGGTCAACTCCTCCCAGGGATACCTACACCAATCAAGGCTTAACTACAACAAGACTGTGCACAAAGACCACAAGGGGGTGCACCAAGAGTGTCCTCCTCAGGTAATTGGGGAGGCTGAACCACTGGGCCCTAGAGGACACTTAGCACAGAAAACCACTTTATCAACACAGGGAAGCATAAATAATGCGGAGACAAAGAAAAAGGACACACATGACAGAAATGGAGGAAAGCAAACTACTGGATATAGAGTTCAAAACCACACTTTTAAGGTTTTTCAAGAATTTTCTAGAAACTGCTGATAAACTTAATAAGATCTATAAGAAATCTAATGAGACCCTCGAGGTTGTGATAAAGGACCAACTAGAAATTAAGCATACACTGACGAAATAAAGAATATTATACAGAGATCCAACAGCAGACTAGAGGATTGCAAGAATCAAGTCAAAGATTTGAAATACGAAGAAGCAAAAACCACCCAACCAGAAAAGCAAAATGAAAAAAGATTCCAAAAATATGAAGATAGTGTAAGGAGCCTCTGGGACAGCTTCGAGTGTACCAACATCCAAATTATAGGGGTGCCAGAAGAAGAGAGAGAGCAAGATATTGAAAACCTATTTGAAGAAATAATGACAGAAAACTTCCCCTACCTGGTGAAGAAATAGACTTACAAGTCCACGAAGCACAGAGAACCCCACACAAAAGGAATCCAAAGAGGACCACACCAAGACACATCATAATTAAAATGCCAAGAGCAAAAGACAAAGAGAGAATCTTAAAAGCAGCAAGAGAAAGAAAGTCATTTACCTACAAGGGAGTACCCATACGACTGTCAGCTGATTTCTCAACAGAAACTTTGCAGGCCAGAAGGGAGTGGCAAGAAATATTCAAAGTGATGAATGCCAAGAACCTACAACCAAGACTACTTTATCCAGCAAAGCTATCATTCAGAATTGAAGGTCAGATAAAGAGCTTCACAGATAAGAAAAAGCTAAAGGAGTTCATCACCACCAAACCAGTATTATATGAAATGCTGAAAGGTATCCTTTAAGAAGAGGAAGAAGAAGGTAAAGATACAAATTATGAACAACAAATACACATCTATCAACAAGTGAACCTGAAAATCAAGTGAATAATCTGATGAACATAATGAACTGATGATTATAATAGAATCAGGGGCATAGAAAGGGAGTGGACTGGCTATTCTTGGGGGGGGGGGGAAGAAGGGGTGAAGGGGATGCGGGAAGAGACTGGACAAAAATCGTGCACCTATGGATGAGGACAGTGGGTGGGGAGTGAGGGAGGAGGGTGGGGTGGGAACTGGGTGGAGGGGAGTTATGGGGGGAAAAAAGAGGAACAAATGTAATCTGAACAATAAAGATTTAATTAATAAAACAAACAAACAAACAAAAAACCCCCAATTTTGGACTTTTTTCCAGCCTAAGGCTGATTGAAGACATTGAAGTTACAAAGTTCTGTACCAGAGTTCATAGAGAGCATGGCAAAAATTTTGGCTTGGAGCCGTGGCCGGTGTGGCTCAATTGATTGGACTTTGTCCCATGCACCAAAAAGTTGTTTCACTCTCACATCAGTGTTTCTCTTTTTCTCCCCCTTTCTCTTCCTCTAAAAATCAATAAAAAATTTTAAAAATATTTTTCGGCTTGGAAAGAATTCAAAGCAGATGTAATAAGTTTTCTCAATGAATGTTTAGTGTTTACACTCTAATGTTACATTAAGTACTGAAAGGATATAGAGATAGTATTCAGAAAAAGGGGGACAAAATTCCTCTCTTCAAAGAGTATAATATCACCCTGAGAAGTAATTGATGCATGATGACACTGGTTGACCCCCTCAGTTGTACATAAATATGCTGTGTTTTGCTGTTGTGCTATAATTCTGGCTTCTGAAGATGAGGCACAGAAATGAACTACTTGATAGAAATTTCCTTATCCACTGAAGATTAAATTTCCACATATAATAATTTAATCTAAATTATATATTAACATTTATTCTTAAGTAACATTTTACTATCAAAGTATTGTTTTATTTGGAAGCTTTAAGAAAAGGAGCCACTGCCCTGGCCAGTGGCCTCCACACTGAATGGTTGCAAGTTGGATTCCCAGTCAGGGGCACATACCTGGGTTTCGGGTTTGTTCCCCACCCCTGGCTGGGGCACATGGGAGAGGAAACCATTAAGGTGTCCCTCTCACATCGATGTTTCTGTCCTTCCCCTCCCCTTTCATTCTCTCTAAAAAAACAATGGAAAAGTATTCTCATGTGAAGATTAAAAAAAAAGAAGCTACTGATGCCTGACAAAATGTAATGGCCAATAGGAATGTATGCATGGCCAAAGGAGGAGGGAGCCATGTGTCTTTTTCTTTTTTTTAATTCAGTAGCTTATCAGTGAAGATTAAGAAACCCTGGTAAGCAAGGTGACCCAACCTTACTTTTATGCATTCTTTTGCATACCACAAGATGTAAGTGGTATGTGTCCAAAAAAATGTATGAAAACAATGACAACAATAACAGCTACCATTTTTTGAACATTTATTATTTTGTCAAGTGCTGTTCTAAGTAGTCTATGTACCTAGTGTAATAACTCATTTCATCATCACAACAAAGCTATGAGATTATTCTTATTCTTGGTTTTAGATAAGGAAATTGAGCCACAGGAATGTTAGACATCATGCCCAAGGTAAGGAAGCTACCTTACCCTTCTTAGCAGATGGGTCAGTATTTGAATTTGAGCAGCCTGACTCGAGCCTGTAAAGGGATGGGGATGATGTGCCTTTGATTGTTTTTTAGAGCAGTGGTTTCTAAACCAGTGAGCACATACTCTAGGGGTGTGGAAAATCATCCATGAGATACAGGGAGAAAATCTACATACAGGCAGTCCTCAGGTTACGTCGGACTCGAAGTACATCGTTTCGTGGTTACACCATCTCCCATTTATTTATATACAAAAAGTTCCATCATTTTGACATACGTACATATGTGCTTTATGTTTTTTATTATTTATTTACCACAAGTAAAGGTCAGGAATTGTTATCTTTCTTTTAATTTTTTTTTTTACTGTTTCACTTCATTACTGCTGTGTATGTGCTCCATGTGAGTGATGTAGGTGCTTATGTAGGTGTGTTCCGACTTACAGTGAAAATCGTGTATGTGGCGCAGTAGGAACGGATCTCCGACGTAACCTGAAGACCTACTGTACTTCTCTTTGTATTTATTTTGTCCTTTACTTGTTTAAATGCAGTATTTAATATATAAAAAGGAACATAAGTTCACTTACTCACCCTGGCCAGTGTGGCTCAGTTTTTGAGCATTGACCTGTGCACCAAAAGGTTGTGGGTTCTCTTCCCAATTGGGGTGTGTATGGGAGGCAACTGATTGATAATTCTCTCTCATCATTGATGTTTCTATCTCTCTCCCTCTCCTTCCCTCTCTGAAATCAATAATATAATAATACGAGTGGCCTGGTGCACGGATTCATGCACATTGAAAGGAAAATAATTAGAAGAAATACTTTAATATTGCTATTTGCCCTTTCTTTGTAATGGAAGTGTCAGCACCTCCCCCTCATCTCCACCATCCCGCCTACGGGGTGATCGATCAGGGCCAGGCCCCCCCGCCTGGCTCCCTCAGCACCTGGGAGTCGGGCGGCAGCTCCGCCCCCCACCACTGCTGCTGGTCGCTGTCTGCAGGGCGATCGGGCCACTGCTCGCACCCACTTTGGCTTGGTGCCATCCGCTTACCTGCTCCACCATCCTGCTGTGGTCCCGCTCTCGTCAGGGCCCATCGGGTCCGGCAGTGCTCCCACTGCCGCCTGCTATCAGCACCGCATCACCGATGCCTGCCATATTCCGCACCACCCCTGGTGGTCAGTGCACGTCATAGCGAGGAGTCAAACTCCAGGTTGAATTCCTGGTTGAGACAATTTGCATATTAGGCTTTTATTATATAAGATACTAACTTTTTTTAAAATAAAAACTACCATTATATAGATATTTCCACCTCTCCACCCCCATGGTCATTAAAGAATATCTATGAAAGAACTATGAAGCTAGTAAAGGCCCAAAAGCATGTAATAAATTCACCAATGTTATATAAATTATGGTATTATCTGGGCCTTTGAAACAAACTGAAAGGCAACTGAGCAAAAATACAGTGAGAGAAATGCTATTCCTGCTTTGCTATTAATAAGCTCTCAGACTCAGGGCAATTTACAATTTCTTTGAGGCATCTGTATAATGGATTGGGTGATGGGGCTTAGCTGAATGACTTTTAAATTCTTTCCAGTTTTAAAAAATTTGTGGAAATCAGGTAAAGGAGTTTTAGAAAATAAAAAGTGTGACTTATTGATACTGACATCCTGTGAGAATCAGTTTCATGTTTTTAAATACATAGTCACACTGCATACACTTTATTTGTAAAAACATTCTAAATGATGGTGATGGTCATAAACCATTGACCATTGGGGGAGAAAAAATGATCCTAGAGAAGTTGGACTCCCACTGTGCAACAATAGTCAAATTTAGAGTCTAACATTCTTTTTGGTTATCCTCTACAATAATCCTATATAAAAAAAGCCTAATATGCTAAGTGTTCAGTCACCCGTTCAACCAATCAAAATGTAATATGCTAATGATATGCTAAGGCCATTCAACTGCTCGCTATGACGTGCACTGACCACCAGGGGGCAGACGCTCTTACCGGTAGGTTAGCCTGCTGCTGGGATCCAGCCTATCGGGACTGAGTGAGACAGGCCCGACATGCCCTGGAGCCTTCCCGTGACTCCTACCCATAGCGGGCTGGCTGGACCTCACCGTGCACAAATTCGTAAAAGCATAATATACTGATTAGGCTGGACAGCCAGATGTCCTTCCAGACGTCCTTCTGGACAAAGCCGTGGCAGCTATGAGGGCTGAGAGCAGGCAGCCGCAGCGGCCGGCAGTGACAGCAGCGGCGGGGTGAAGGGGACAGCACCTTCCCCTGATCGCCTGGTCATCTCCTGCAGAGGAAGGGGAGGGAGCGGGCCTAAGCAGTCAGTAGGACATCCCCTGAGGGCTCCCGGACTATGTGAGGGGGCAGGCCAGGCTGAGGGACATCTCCCCCACCAGTGCACGAATTTTGTGCACCAGTCCTCTAGTTTATTAATAAGATGGTTAAAAGCTGTTTCCTCCTGTGGGTCAGTAGGGGTTTTGGTTTTAAAAGATGGCTGGTTGCACCAAGGAATAACTGCCTTTATGAGCTAGTAGAAAGGAGGTTATCAAAAGATTCCATTTACATTAAATGGTGATTTTCAGGCATAGCATTTTAATAATATACAACCCAGAATTCGATTAAGACTATTCCTTTATAAACTTTCTCATTCATGAGTTTGAATGAGAAAGTAGAGTGTTTATATGTAAAAGAGGAATTGTAAAATTGGCTTATAGTTTCATAATTTCATGTGTTCATTGTTCTTTAATTTCTTAATTTGCTACACCAATTTTATTAGAAGAAATGCTGTGGCAAACTGTCTTAATGAAAATAAGTTTAAATTATTGATTTTTAAATGAATGAGCTTTTTTCTTTGATTAAACAAGGTGTATGCTATTTTTCTTAAATCCTAAACTATTTCTGAAAATGGTATTTGAAAGGTACAAATGAACAGTGACTTGTATGAATAGTTGAAATTTTTATGAGCCAAGCACAGTTTCTAATTTTTACTTTAAAATTGAAAACTCATTAGAGAATGCTTCAAAGTTGATAGGTCATTCAACTGATTATCAAGCAAAACGATAATTTGATATAATGAGGTTATATTCTTTCTACAGGTTTTATTGAAAACTACAGCTGGAGATATCGATATAGAGTTGTGGTCAAAAGAAGCACCTAAAGCTTGCAGAAATTTCATTCAGCTTTGTTTGGAAGGTAATCATAATTGTTGAGCTGTATTCTACAGGATAAATTTTGTTAATTTACAAATAAAGTGCAGTGTATTTTTCTGCAACATTGAAGACTGGTATTAAATAGTGGTAATGAATGATAGGAGTTAATAGGAGTGATATGGTGTTGAGCTATGTTTCAGGAAATAGAGAGAGGAGATAAAAAATTAATAAATAAATCTATATACCTTTAACAGAGAAATTTACTCACCAAATGATACTTTGATCCTTTTTGGTGTCCTTGGCTATTTTCCACTTCTTTCTTTCATCCTCTAAATGGGTATTCCCTAAGATTGCCTCTAGTTCTCTATTGCCTCACTCCTGAGTTGTTACTTCATTCAAATGACTATTAAATTTAGAATTCCAGCCATTTCTTCTCATCTTAGCTCTAATTTACATATCAAATTGCCTAGTGGACTTTCCTCTTCAATCTTCCAGTGTCAGTTATAACTAAAACCAGTGTAAAACCAAATTTATTAGGTTCTTCCCCAGTCTGCCTTGACTTTCACCTACATGATTGTAATTGCCTTTTACCTGGTCTTCCTCCCACTCATCTTTAATATCTTTACCTTCTTCTTTATTCATCTGGTAGTTGAATCTTCAGGCAGCATGGCTTCCTAGCTTTCCAACTTTATTTTTATTGCACTCAGTAACCCCATGGTATTAGTTGATCATCTTTACCTCCTGAGCAGTTCATTCTCATTCCCACTTTCACACATATCCTCAGACCTCCTTCAGACAAGATGAGATTGGGCACATTCAGGGTGGTATGAGCATAGATGCATACCTGCTTCAAATCCTCAGTTTCTTCATATCTTCAGTTTCCTTTTTGAAATACTTTCTCTTCCTTTTTTTCTGCTTAAGTCTACCTACTTTTTAATGTCTGTTCAAAATTCCACTTTCTCTGTGAAGCCTTCCATTTAGCATTCAGTGATGTTATCAATGCCTCTAGTATTGTTTTAGATTTGAGTCATAAAGTGACTGTTTTTCTTTTCTGTTTAATCCTCACCCAAGGATATGTTTATTGATTTGAGAGAGAGAAACATTGATATGAGAAACATCAATCAGTTGCCTCCCGTACTCGCCCCAACTGGTGATCAAACTTGCAACCTTTTTAGTGCAGGGATGAAACTCCAACCACCTGAGCACCAGGTAGTATTTTTCTTTTTAACGAACTTCACAGAATTATACATTCACTTGGGTGTTCTCCCCTTCAGAATATTTCCTTACAGAACTAAACATTTCATGCATTTTGGTAACTTGTTGGCATTTAGAATACATTGCATATGGACTTGAATATCTCCAGTCATGGTAAGTCATTGTCCTAAGTTATATCAGATTTTTAGAGACAGACAAGGTTAATCAGGGTTCAGAAAATAGCATTTTGGGTCCAGAGCAAGGTGTGAAAGAGAATCAAAAATATCCAACAGGAAGGCACAGAGCTCTTTCAGTAGATAATTGGAACAATAGATAATTACCAGGGAAGATCTAAGGAGTAAATATACGCAGACCAAAAAAGAAAAAAAGATAGATAGAAAAAAAGACGCCTGCAAAGGCCATTATTAATAATTGCTATGGCAGGCAGGAAGGAAATTGAGTCAGACAGGTAGTTCAGTCAGAGAAGCATCAAATAACTGTCAACATAGTCAACACAGTAGAAGAGTCAGACTTGTTTCTGGAAAGAAGTTTGAAGAATTGAAAGCTCAAATTTTACAGTAGAAGAGGGAAAGTAGAAAAACATTAGAAAGAATGAATGGTAGATTACAGTCTATGACCAGGCAAATGGAAGAAGCAGGAAACATCTGGATATAATATGACAATGAAGAAGAAAGAAGTTTCCTAAGTTAGATAATGATGAAACTTAATTGCAACAATAAGAAATTATTCCTCTGTTTCTAAAAATATAAGAAGAAAGAAAGCATAGAACAATAACTAGAGCAGTTATCTTAATTGGACAGGTGAGAGAGAGAATTATCATTGCCAAGGATAACAAGAAGCCCGAGCAGACTAATTTAAATGAAGATACTTGTAAATGAATAAAGTCAGGGTTTTAAAAAATATGATTCAGAGAACCCCATTTTTTAAAAAAAAAATTTTAAATATATTTTTATTGATTTCAGAGAGGAAGGGAAGAAAGATAGATAGAAACATCAATGAGAGAATCATCGATTGGCTGCCTTCTGCACACTGCCTACTGGGGAACAAGCCCGCAACCCAGGCAATGGAACTCTAACCTCCTGGTTCTTAGGTCTACGCTCAACCACTGAGCCATGCCAGCTGGGCGAGAACCCCATTTTATTTCTCTTGCCATGATTTATTTACTTATGATTTTTAACAAGTCATTATATTTCTATATCTTGTAATATTCTTGTATATATACTTTAAAACATAGTTTCCATAATTAAAAGTAAATGAATGAAAATGAGGAAGGGGAAGCACAGCCTCAGCTATGGCTCTCAAATAAAAGTTTTCACAATTAAAGGGAAGTTTTGAGCTTTTTATTTTTCAACTTTATTGAGGTACAGTTGATGAAATTGTATATATTTAGGTTGTATGACATGACTCTTTAAGGGCGTGCAATGTGATGATTTAATATACATATACATTGTGAAATGATTTCTACAGTCAATTTTAGTAACATATCCATCACCTCGCATAGTTATCTTTTTTCTTATATTTTTGTGATGAGAACACTTGAATCTACTCTCTTAGCAAATTTTAAGTATTCAGTACAGTATTATTAACTGTGTTCACCATGCTGTACATTGGATCCCCCAAGCTTATTCATCATACAACTGAAAATTTGTACCTTTTGACCAACATCCTTCGAGTTTCTTCACCCCCCACGCCCTCAATTCCCTGGCAACCACCATTCTACTTTCTGGTTCTGTCAGTTCAACTGTTTTAGATACTACATATAAGTGAGAGCATACAATATTTGTCTTTCTGTGTCTGGGGGGAATTGTTTTAGTTTTTATGAAATCAAAAGATCTATAATTACACAGACTTAATCTTGGATTATAGGTCTTTGCAGGATAGTTGAACATTTAAAAATGAGTGAAAATTTTAACTAATTCTAACTTTTAGAAGTAGGTGAAAAAGATAGATGGAAAGGGAAGCTTGCTAGCTTTGATAATTTTATTAGTTCCTTAGAAGTATAAGGAAGGAATACACTTTTAGGGCTGCAGTGCAGAGGGGAGAGCAGAAAGAGAAGCCGATAAGAAAACCATTTTTTTAAAACTTTATGCAATTATTAATCTCTTTACTTCTATTTACCTCAGTCTTTTTTCTCCAAGATCCATGCTTCATCATTTGCCTTTTATCCCCTTACCTCCTTTAATAGTAATTTAATAACTCTTTAGAAGTGACAAACATAAGTATATATTGAGATATTAAAAGACAAAACTAAAATATTTGTTAAAAAAAAACAGGCTAAAATAAATGGGGCAGACAGATCACAAAAGGAGTTTTTAAAGAGTTCTTTGTAGTAATTTCTACAAAATTAAACACAAGATTCTAAAGACACACATATAAGTGCTTTAAAAATGCAAATCTTAATGTCTATATGTACTAAGGAAATATAATTAGTCAAAATACATAATTTATTGCACAGCTAGAAACAAAAACTATAATGACTAATATCAGAGGCAGAACTGCCAATTTAGAACTTCATTTTATATTTGAAATATATGTAAATTTCTTTTTTCAGTAATGGAGAAAATTATGGAGGATATGATGAACAGGCATAATGAAATAATAAAGCCTCTTTCTTTAAAATACTTATGGGAATGCTACATGCAATTTAAGAAGACAGTCAACTTTATTGCAAGCAGCAAAATCTATTAAAGCCCATGGTAATCTGGCTAATCGGGACTGAGCGAGATAAGCCGGACACACCCTGGAGCCCTCCCATGCTCCCTCCCTGTCTGGCCAACCTCCCGTGTCCCTCCCCAGCCCTGATTGTGCACTGGTGGGGTTCCTCGGCCTGGCCTGCGTCCTCTCGCAATCTGGGACCCCTCAGGGAATGTTGGAGAGCCAGTATTGGTCTGATCCTGTAGGCCAGGCCAAGGGTCCCCACTGGTGCATGAATTCATGCACCAGGCCTCTAGTTATTAATAAATTGCAAGGAAGTAAAAATGGTGGATATGAAAATTTTGTGGAAATTTGAAATTCTAGCCATGAATACAAAATTATGGTGTAGATAAACTGTAGAAAATTCCTACTCAATGTGTGTGTGGTTTTAGTCATTCAACAAGAATATCGTTAGGAAAGTAAAAAAGAAAAGCATAAAGTAAAAAGCCATTATCTCTGAAAGGCTTTGTAAGAAATAGCAGAAAAGAAAAGGATAGGTAATTTTAAAATTTGAAAGCACAAGTAACAAAGACCTCTTTCATGTCCTGCTTCCCTTACATCTAATAGATCTCTGAGTCTTAATCTGCTTCCCAGAGAATTCTTGGGTCTGTTCATTTCAAGAATGTTTTGACTCTTAGGACAACAATAGTTTGTTTTCTCTCCCTCTCTCTCTTTCTCCCTTCCCTTCCCCCACCCTGAGGGATTATTTTCATTTTCTGATATAGACTAGGTTATGTTTTATATTCAGATTTGAAAAGGAATTTATAGAATATTTTTGTAAAAATATTAAAGTTTGACATCATATTTATGTTGAACTTGAAAGCTTGTAGGTTGCATCTACATTATCTTATTTAATCTTTAGAGCAACTCTGTGAGTTCACCTATATTATTAGTTGTATAATGAGAATATTACATGTACTATAGTTAATACTATATTGTGACTATAGTTAATACTATAGTTAATATTATATTGAATTTTTGGAAGCTGCTAAAGAATAGATCTTAAAAGTTCTCATCACAAGAAAAAAAATTGTAACTGTGGTGACAGATGTTAACTAGATATTGTCATTAATGATCATTTCACAATGTTGAATAAGTTTCCAATTATTATGTTGTATACTTGAAACTAATATAATATTATATGTCAATTGTATTTGAATAAAAATATTAAAAAAATTGAATTTAAGGTTGCACAGCAAATAGGAAGCAAAACTCAAGAATTCCTGACTTCTGCATACAGTGTTAATCCAAGTAAATGGTTACTTAGGGATACAGGAGAGATACTTTTACCCGTTTTGGTTTTTACAGTTTCCATTTATAACTAGGGAGAACTTGTCTACACTGGGGAGCTCTTGTGAATATAGCCCAACAGCTCTTCACTGGGAGAAGTGATTGAAAAAAATTAGTGGTCTTCCTTTCAACTTCTTCCAATCCATCCTATGTACTGGATAAAGTTGTTAGAGTATAGAATACATATTTTGAAATACGGATTTTATATCCATCTGTAACTTATAAATGTAAGCCAGCAAGCCAGCCACTATATCATAGTACTTTATGAATTACTAGAGGCCCGATGCATGAAATTTGTGCACTTGGCGGGGCGGGGGGGGGGGGGTGTTGTCCCTCAGCCCAGCCTGCACCCTCTTCAATCTGGGACCACTCGAGGGATGTCTGACTGCTGGTTTAGGCTTGATCCGATCAAGCCTAAACCGGCAGTCGGACATTTCTCTCACAATCTGGGACTGCTGGCTCCCAACCGTTCACCTGCCTGCCTGCCTGATTGCCCCTAACTGCTTCTGCCTGCCAGCCTGATCAACACCTAACTGCTCCCTTCCTGGCCCAGTCGCCTCCAACTGCCCTCCCCTGCAGGCCTGGTCTCCCCTAACTGCCCTCCCCTGCTGGCCTGATCACCCACAACTGCCTTCCCCTGCCGGCCATCTTGTGGCTGTGGGTGCCACCATCTTTGAGGGCGTGGCAGTCAATTAGCATAGTCCCTCCTTATTGGCTGTGGGTGCCACCATCTTTGCAATGGTGTGAGGGTCAATTAGCATATTCCCTCTTTATTAGATAGGATGATAGACCATAGTCATGTTTTGACCCTTAAAGTACACAAAGTACCTATTATATATGTCAGTAGTTACATCTGTGTAATTATGTCAGTTCAATTCTTACATAGTAACTATACCATTTTACAACCCAACTTGCAATGTAAGAGGGTTCCAGTTTCTCTATCTCTTCACTAACACTTGTTTTCCCTTTTTTTATTGATAGCCATTCTAATGGGTATAAAGTAGTATTTCATTGTAGTTTTGCTATGCATTTCCCTAATGATTAAAGATGTTGAGAATAGCCAAAGCCGGTTTGGCTCAGTGGATAGAGCGTCGGCCTGCGGACTGAAAGGTCCCGGGTTCGATTCCGGTCAAGGGCATGTACCTGGGTTGCGGGCATATCCCCAGTGGGGGATGTGCAGGAGGCAGCTGATTGATGTTTCTCTCTCATCGATGTTTCTAACTCTCTATCTCTCTCCCTTCCTCTCTGTAAAAAATCAATAAAATATATTTAATACAAGATGTTGAGAATTTTTTCTTATGTATATTGGCCCTTGTTGCTACTTATTAATATAAATTCTATGATTCAGTCAAGCCCTAATTCTTTCCCTTTCACCCCCCATCAAATTCTTTGCTTATGCTTTACCCTCATTTAGCTATCATGATTCTGCCATATTCTTTCTCCTCTGTGAAGTAAGTTTCCAGAATGATTCTAGGTTCTAGATAGTAACTATTAGGAGATCATATATGATCGTCTTTTATGTTGCTGGCTTCCAGATAATATATTTACATATATATATATTAATAATTTCTTTTAATCATTTAGCAAGCTTATTGAGAGTTTAATTGGATTCAGTTATATAGTGTGTTGATTATTGAAAGTTTCTTTGGGGGTGGTGCATTGATAGTAGACCTATAATCAATTAGTACTTTTGATATATTTTGGGTTTGTATATTGTTTGTGTAAATTAATTTTCTAGGAGGAGAATAGGAAAGAAGGCATTGATCTCCACTATGATTTCTGAATCTCAGCACTGTTGACATTTTGGGCCAGTAATTATTTGGTGACATCCTGTGCTTTGTAGGATGTTTATGAGTATTCCTGGCTTCTACCCACTAGATGCCAGTAGCATCTCCCACTTGTGACAACCATATACTTCTAGATATTGACAAATATCCCCTAGGGAACAAAATTGGGTGGGGCTTTTTTCCTGAATACCCCCTCCCCCAGCTGAGAACCATTGATCAATACCAAAACTCTCAAATTTTTATTTTGAAAACTGTAATCCAGAGTTTGAGAGAATTCTTTTCTTTTTTTTAAAAAAAAAAATATATATATTTTTTAAATATATTTTATTGATTTTTTACAGAGAGGAAGGGAGAGAGATAGAGAGTTAGAAACATCGATGAGAGAGAAACACTGACCAGCTGCCTCCTGCACACCTCCCACTGGGGATGTGCCCGCAACCAAGGCACATGCCCTTGACCAGAATCGAACCCGGGACCCTTGAGTCCTCAGGCCGACGCTCTATCCACTGAGCCAAACCGGTTTGGCTGAGAGATTCTTAAAATAATTTTAAAAAAACCACCACCACAATGATTTCTGTGGAAATTGTGCTATTTTGAGAAGATATTTTATAATAAGTAGGGAAGAAAAGGTTTTGGTTTAGGAACCTACTTAACATTCAGGGGAGGGGAACCTTATGATTCTAGTTGTAGTAATTCTGGTAACTACAGATACACTTTGTTTTAAACTTTGATAAATTATTTTTTCTTTCTTTCAGCATATTATGACAAGACCATTTTTCATAGAGTTGTACCTGGTTTTATAGTCCAAGGAGGAGATCCTACTGGCACAGGAACTGGTGGAGAGTCTATCTATGGAGCCCCATTCAAGGTGAGACCTAATTTATTATTATTACTTATGTGCAAATCAGCTTGGATTTCTTAATTGAAAATAATTATGCCCCACAAGAATAAAATGCATTTCACATTAGTGCACAAAATCCGGTGTCTATCACATAATTAGAATTACACAGGTATAATAACAGCACTTACCCTATCAAGAATTCTTTCTAAGTTGTCTTATCACAAACTATTATGCTATATTGAATTCAGGTGGAGCTAACGGTGAGTGAAAAATAGAAAAACCTGATACAGCATATTTCCTGATACTTGCCTATGTTTGATTCTGCAACTCTGTAGATGTAAAACATTTTTAGAACATTGCATATGCCATTCCATTTTAAAACATTTTGTTTAATACTATATGAACTTTGTATCAATCTGCTTGGACCTCTGTAACAAAGTACCATTGACAGGGTGTCTTAAACAACAGCAATTTATTTTTACAATTCTTTCTTTTTTTTTTTTTTTAAGTATATTTTATTGATTTTTTACAGAGAGGAAGGGAGAGAGATAGAGAGTTAGAAACATCGATGAGAGAGAAACATCGATCAGCCGCCTCCTGCACATCTCCCACTGGGGATGTGCCCGCAACCAAGGTCCATGCCCTTGACCGGAATCGAACCCGGGACCTTTCAGTCCGCAGGCTGACACTCTATCCACTGAGCCAAACCGGTTTTGGCTTATTTTTACAATTCTTGAAGCTAGGAAGTCCAAGATCAAGATGTGGGTTCCTGGTGAAGGTTCTCTCCCTGGATTGAGAGAAAGAGAGAGAGAGAGAGAACATGCGCACGCTAGCTCTGGTGTCTCTTCTTCTTATAAGGGCACCAGCCCTACTGGATTTGGGCTTCATTCTAATGACCTCCTTTAACCCTTAGGATCTTCTTGACAGGCCCTATGTCAGATATAGTCACCTTGGGGTTAGAACTTCAAAACAGGAATTTGGGGGAGCACAATTCAGTCCATAATAGATTTAATTCTAAATTTTATACAATAGATAGAACTCTGTAGCACAAAACGCATGCCATAACAGGAACTCAGCGGAAAAGAAGAAAGAAGCAACATAAAATTGTTATCAAAAGGAGTGAATATTAATAAAGAATAGGTCAGTAGTTTGTTAATTACCAACATAGATTTAAAAAGAAAAAAGAGTTGATATTATGCTTAAGACATTAAGAATAACAGTGGGTTCAGGTAAAAGCTGAAAGTTCAGTTATTTGTTAATCTGATAGTACCAATATCATGTTCTTTGAATGAGTAAATCTTAACAGCTCTTAAAAGATGGGTGTTTTTGAAGACTTTGTGTTTATACTAATGGGATAGAGTACCTGGAGTTTCCTTTAATATTTAACTGGGTCACTGTGATTCTTGCAAAAAATATTTGAACTGTTTTTGTTTGCTTTAATTTCTAGATGATAGTATCTTTAGAAAATGTGGAATGATTATAAAAGTTTCTCACATATTTATATTTTACCAAATTGAGGTATCTTATGGTTTTACAGCCTCCACCTAGTAGGAATCATTCCTTTATTCTATTATTTGGTGAAACAGAATAGCTCTTTTTGGCAGTTTATTTCTAAATGGAGATTTTTGCTAATCATGTTCAGGTAATGAGTTGTCTTGGTAAATTTTTCAGTTAGGTCATTTTTAATACAGTATGCAGAGTTATGATCCTTTGAGTTTAAATCTCTTGAAAATTATTCATTAAGGGAAAATAGCCTCTTTTCTGAAAAGTATTGATTATATAACAACTATATTATAAATGAGTCTAGAATGCGACCTGGACAGAAATTCTATTAACTAAGAGACTAATGTTTATGTTATGTAATGTAGCCTGACCATGGCAAGGAACCCACCTTAAAAAAGCTTGCTACTGCCCTTTTAAAAATTCAATTTAGGACTCTAAAAAATACAGTAAAGCATATAACATAATCATAGTAGATTTCTTGAATTAAAAAAACAAGGAGGAAGCAATTGTTTCCTGGCTTAGAATGGGTTGGAGGGGGGAGGTGGGCGGCAATAGTTGAAGACTCTTCAGTGATTCAAAGGTAATTTTCTTGGAGAAAAAATAGAAGGTTCTAAAAGCTTAGATGACTTTGAGGGATGGGAAAAAGGGAATGACTCTTAGAAATCCATTCCCCTTCAAGTACCCTTTGTCTGTGTAAGTAGGCAGATTTCCACGAAATAGGCTAAATTTGTAGCTGAGTATATTCAGAAGATACAGGCTACTGAAGTCAAGTTTAATAACATTGAAGGAATAGTAAATATTAGATATGGTTAAACTTGAAAAACAGTTAAATACAACTTCAGCATTTTTTATTAGAAGCTTTATGGAACCTTGTTGGTTAAACGAATATGAAGGGCCTTATCACTGAGGTCATTCACTAAATCTTTTCTTTTTTATGCTTCAGGATGAATTCCACTCACGATTGCGTTTTAATCGGCGAGGACTGGTTGCCATGGCAAATGCTGGTCCTCATGATAATGGCAGCCAGTTCTTTTTTACACTGGGTCGAGCAGATGAACTTAACAATAAGCACACCATCTTTGGAAAGGTTTGTGTCCATTATATTAGGCTTCTGGGATACATATGATCAACTTATCTATGAGCTGCCTTCTTAAATTATTCCCTAGGATATTTATTTATTTTTAAAAATGACAGACTATATTCCTGTTATAATGAACTATGAATTTTTGTGTGTGTTTCAAATAAGACATTGGTTGTGACTTCAAACTTTATTTTTCTAAAATCATACTAATCATATTAGCTACTATGCCATTCAGCTGATTCCATTTTTTATGATTTTTGAAAGACACCTAGGTAATAAAACTTAGCAGTTTAATGTTTATTTTGTTAATGATGAATTCCCTTAAGTTTAAAGTGGAAGTTATAGTAACATTAAAATTGTTTACCTGAAATATTACTTTCAGTAATAATTATTTAATCCTGCACACAATCAACATCATATCAGGGAATGTCATTTCCATAGAATTTTTAACAGTTTTCCTTAAAAAGGTTTCTGAAGGTTTTCTTTTCTTACTCTTCTCCCTTCTCATAAATACTACATCCCTGTATGTTTTGTCTTGGGCATGTTAGACATCACTAGTGTATTAGCTCCCTCTACTGGTTCGGTAAGAATGGTTTCTCCATAGCCTAGGCAAAACTGGATGTTGGGAGGATGAAAGGGAAAAAACAAACTTAGCACAAATATAAAATTGGTATTATTTTAAAACTTGATAAATGTTGAATGAAAGGAGTCCCGCTAAAAACATGCAATACAATATTGTTGCTTAATACTTAACAACGTGGGTTAAGAAGTATGCATTGGCACAGTTGAGCCACTCTGACACAGGTTGCTGATGTTCATAGATTTTACTTTCTACTATTTAAAAAAAATAAGTGTTTAATAAAATGAGATTTAGGTTGCCATTCTGCACCATTGTTTACAGTTGATGTTATATAATCTACACATTATATAACTAACAATGGTTAGAATTCTGAAAGGCCATCACTGTGGGCTCTATAACTTCTTTGAACCTCAGTTTTCTTATCTGGAGAATGAAGATAATGTTAATAACTACTTTTAGGATATTTGTGAGGATTAAATGAGATATCTGCAAAGCAATTACCACATTATTATTTGCTTGTTTTACTCTATTATAAAGTCTACATATGTTTCTGATGTTTGAATGAAAAGTTGTCATTCAGTAAGAGGTTATTTGGCACAATATTTTCGTTTTTAATAAAAGTACCAGTATATATTGGAAATTTCACAAATATTTTATTGAGGGGTTGGACTTCATCTAGGCTTTTTCCTCTTAAGATGAAGTTGCTTTGTTTGCATTATTTAATGTATATGCTCTGATATAATTATATGAAATTCCCTTTTAATTATTTAAAATATATTTTCAAAAGTGTTCCCTTATTTCAAAGAATGAATGTAATAATTTGCAATTAAATTTTTGTTTTTATTTAATAGATTACAGGGGATACAATATATAACATGCTGCGACTGGCAGAAGTAGACACTGATAATGAAGAAAGACCACTTAATCCACACAGAATAAAAAGTTGTGAGGTAGGAGTATGATTAGTATAAGATATAGCACTTAAATCAGCGGTTCTCAACCTGTGGGACACGACCCCTTTGGGGGTTGAAGGACCCTTTCACAGGGGTCACCTAAGACCATCGGAAAACACATATATAATTACATATTGTTTTTGTGATTAATCACTATGCTTTAATTATGTTCAATTTGTAACAATGAAATTGGGGGTCACCACAACATGAGGAACTGTATTAAAGGGTTGCGTCATTAGGAAGGTTGAGAACCACTGACTTAAATGGTCATATAAGAAAAATTGTCAGTATTTTTTTAAAAAGTATAGTTTATTGTTTTTTTAAAGAGAGAGGCAGGGAGAGGGGGAGAGAAACAATAGATGTGAGAGCCTAACATTGATTGGCTTCCTCCAGCACGCCCCCTACTGGGGACTGAACCCACAACCCTGGCATGTGCAATCTGACTGGGAACCTTTTGGCAACCAACTGAGCTACACCAGGCAGGGCTGATGGTTACTATTTTTAAACTATCAGATGAAGTCTTTATACTAAATTAAGGCACAACTCAGATTTTATCTGTGTAATTCAGGTACAGTTTTTTTTTCTTTAACCCTCGCTCGAGGATAATTTTCCCATTGATTTTCAGAAAGAGTGGAAGGGAGAGGGGATGGGAAAGAGGAGAGAGAGAGAAGAGAGAGAAACATCAATGTGAGAGAGACACATTGATTGGTTGCCTCCTGCATGTGCTCCGACAGGGCCAGGGGTCGAACCTGCAACCCAGTATGTGCCCTTGACTGGGAATCGAATACGAGACCCTTCAGTGGTATTGGATCAGCACTAACCATTGAATAACATGATCAGGGCTAGAACAATTTCTGATTAAGACTTGTTTTAAATTGAAAGTTTTGAATTCTAAGATGAAATTTTAGCTGATAATCTAATGAATGAAAAGCTTAACTCAGAATGGAAAGTTAGAGGAATTAGGTTCATTTAATCCAATCAAGTGACTTCATTGGTAACTTAAGAGTGATCCTTCATTGAAGGAGCCATTGAGGGTGATCTTTAAGAACATTTGATTTGGAGTCAAAATCAGGAGAGATCTGATTTTGTTTCTCATTCTATATATTAAATTTTCTTGAATATTTTTTCCCTTTGTAAGATAAAAATAAGATATCCTTTACTTAATAGCACATAGGATTATTGGGAGAATACATTGAGGCCATGTAAGTGGAAGCACTTTATGTAGTATATGTTTCACTATACTTACAATGTTTTTGTGAGGAAAAATTATAGACACTAATGTCAATACAATTAAATATTGTTTTTAATTTTCAAAATGTTTCTTTTCATAGGTTTTGTTTAATCCTTTTGACGACATAATTCCAAGGGAAATAAAAAAGCTGAAAAAAGAGAAACCAGAGGAGAAAGTAAAGACATTGAAACCCAAAGGCACAAAGTAATCATAGTAGGAAGATTTTTCTTCAGTTTGTAAAACAGCTCTGATTCATTTAGTTCACTTCATTTCCTTTTGTAAACATTGTTTACTAGTGAGGGGGAGGCCAGTTTGGACCAGGGAGATATCTGAATTAGGAGTGTGTGTATTCTATTCTGCATGGGCATTTCTTGTATTCAAATACAGTATATAACTTAAACTTAAGCTAAAGAAGTATTGCCTCAGATGTCCATATAAAATCTGTATTAATATAAATAAGCAGTGATTACTACAGCAATTACTTATATAAATGAGTTATTGAGAATTGTTCTGTTTTTTACTTGTTTTTCAATTAATATATGCTCAGTATAAGGAAATTGGAAAGTAAAATATGAAGTATATGATAATGTTTATATAACTTTTCACTCCTTTTTTGGTGTTTATAAATATTTTTAAGTATAAAGCTCTTTCTGTATTCTAGATTATTTCCTTAGAATAGTTTTCAAAAAAATAGAAACTCTTTTTTTTATTAAGTTCCAGCATTTTGTGAACAGTATTCTTTACATTATTAGTTTGTTTTATTAAAATAGATATCGAGTGTTAGATTTCAATTGATTCTTTTATTGAATTATGGCATTTATATTAGGGATTTTATTGTACTTAAAGTGTTAGGTTCAGATAGTTCTAAATATAATCCTGCCTAACCCAGTAAATAAAAAGCAAACTTTATTAATCTGTTTGGCCTTTAGTTTTCCCATCTTAGAAAATGGAGATTATAATAAATATAACACCTGGTTGTTATGAAGCTTAAATGAGAAGGGAAATTTGAAAATACTCAGTAGTAAGGCATTTAATACATACTCATTTCTTTCCTTGATACCCTACAATATAAGTAAGTTAAGTTGTTTTCATAAACTCTCAGATATGAGCAGACAGTTTAATAAGCAGTTGATGTCTTATGGCAAAATAACTTTATATAGAGCTATGTATTTAATTTCCTTTTATTTATTTATTTATTTATTTATTTATTTATTTAGACTAATTTATCTTTGGGTGAAAGGTCACTCTCACTATGTTCCGATACAATATTTTTTTTCTGTAGTTTATCTTGACAACAAGCTCCAAAGTTGGGTATTTTTGTTTTAATTCATAGTAAATATATTGGGAATTATGTGGTAGTCATTGATTGCGTCTAGGTTTTGAAGTAGAAGTTTCTCTTTTATTACCAAATCTTTTATTTTTATAATATTTGAGGAAGAGTTTTTTACTTATTTATTTATTTTTTTTGATTTCAGAGAGGAAGGGAGAGGAAGAGAGAGAGATAGAAACATCAATGATGAGAATGAATCATTGATCGGCTGCCTCCTGCACTCCCCTACTGGGGATTAAGCCCACAACCCAGGCATGTGCCCTTGCCTGGAATTGAACCTGGGACCCTTCAGCCTGCAGGCTGACACTCTCCACTGAGCCAAACCAGCTAGGGCTTGAGGAAGAGTTTTAATAACAAATTATTTATTTTTCTTGGGAAATCTTTGGTTTGAATGCTCAAAGAAAAAACTTAATTTTTTCTCCCATAGGCTATTTTAACAGTTTTGTTTAACTTATGAATTTTAATATATTAAGCCATATTTTGGCAGACACTAGATTAATTGCTTCCCATTTGTAGTGCTCTCAGGTCTATATATTTATTAGTTTTTCAGAATTCTCAATTTTGATAACCAGTGTTGATAAATATAAAAAGCTTAATTATTTCTGTCATGTTTGATTTAGTATATTTAATGGTAGTGCTCAGAATGGATTTTTGGTCATTAGTTTAGTCTAGTATATGAATCATATGTGATCTGAAGCCAAAACTATAACATGCTGAAAATATAGATCTTTAGTATATTTCTACTGAATATTAAGTAATAGTGTCTACTGTTAAACAAAAGTGTCTCTTCTTGTAAGTTCTACTCTATTTTTTTTGCTAATAAGAGGGCAGAAGGGGGTTGGGTAAGAGATCAACCGAAGGACTTGTATGCATGCATATAAGCATAACCAATGGACATAAGACATTGGGGGTTAGGGGAGGCCAGGGGATTGTCAAGGGCGGGGGAAAAAAAAGGAGACATATGTAATACTCTTTGTAATACTTTAAGCAATAAAAAAAAAATAATGTTCATCATAAAAAAAAAGATATTTATAAGTTTTGTTTAATTTTTTCTTTCTAATTTTCTTTCATTCTTTTTTCCTTTTTATTAATTAGAAATTTTAGTTTGCTTTCATTTGGAGAGGAAGCTGAGGAAGAAGAGGAGGAAGTAAATCGAGTTAGTCAGGTAAAACCGTAATTTGCCCTTTTTTCTGAATTGTAAAAAAAAATTAAGGTTTATATCTTACTCATTTTTGTATTTCCGGATGTACATGGAGCACATTCAGTAAACGTTCATGGAACTAATTTGTAAAATGATTTATGGTCAATAATATTTGCATCTTCAGAGAAGATTTGCCCTCTTAAAAAAAACTCATGGACACGGACAACAGTGGTGATAGCATGGGGCAGGTGGGGGAGGTGGAAGAAGGTATGGGGGGATAAATGGTGATGGAAAAAAAGAAAAAAATTGATAGTTTTTTTTAACCTGGAATTTTTTTTTCCAGTCAGTTAGAACTAAAGTTAAAGAACTTTATGATTCAGATTTTAATTGCTATTTGTTTAATGGGTTTTCTAGATGATAATGTTTATTGTTAGTATTATAAACAGTGATAGACCAAAGCTCTTATATGCATTTAAATATTTATATATATTTATTCATTTTTTCAATTCTCATCACAGCCCTTTAAGTTAGGTATTATTATTATTATCCCCATTTTACCCATGATTATATTAAGGTATAGGTAGGTTATAATTTGCTCAAAGTCACAGAAGCAGTAAGTTATCGAGAGCTGGGATTTGAACCTACATTTATCTTGCAATAAAATCCATGTCTTTGGATTATATATTGCCTCTTGGCCTTTTACCTCACAATACTTCCCTTTTGCCTTCAAGTGTGATGTTCCTCAGTCTCACTTTCCCCACAGTACTCATTGCTGAAACCCTTACAGTGCCCTGCCATTGTTCAGAGCAGTGATTCTAATAAGTATACTTCAAGAAAATCATCTGAAGTGTTTCCACTCCCCAAGATTCTGATACATTTTCCTTTTTGGAAAGTTAGTGAACACTGAGATCTAAGGATTAGGTTCAAAGTCTTTACTGTAGTAATTAAAACTCTATAACCTAACACTGCCTTACTTGCTTAACTTAGTCACCTATATCTTACCAACACTAACAATAGTATTGACTTAAAAACACATTATTGTTACCCTTGTCTTTACTTCTTTATCCATGTACTTTGCTCCCTTAACCATTGAGCATAGTTTTGGTAGGCTAACATTGAGCATACAGTAAGCGTGCTACTTACACCCCTTGTATTAAAACTGAATTACAGTGGGCACATATTAGAAATATTTTGGTCATAATTTTTTTTTTTTCACTGACATCAGTGTTCTTGAGTGATCTGTTTGCTACTATGATTCAATTATCACCTGTAAACTAATATTCTGAACAAGGAGACAAGGCTGAATATTTCTTCTGGGCTCTTCCTCATTCTGAGTGCCTTGAGGAAGAATCTCTACTTCAGGTGTCAAAATTAAATTCCTCTTTACATGAAAACTTGCCGGGGTCCAACCCCAGCAGGTCTAGGGGTCCCCAAAGGTGTGGACGGAGTCGGCGAAGGAGGAATGACACGGAGACAGGGTTCAGTTGATCAGCAGCCTAGCCAGGATCTCTAGCCAGGATCTCCAGCCAAGTTCTGGTCTGGATCTCCAGCGAAGTTCTGGTTCGGATCTCCAGCCAGGTTCTGTGTCCATGTTCTCTTGCTAGGTTCTCCAGGTTCTCCAGGTTCTCCAGCCAGGTTCTGTAGCCAAGTTCCCTCGCTAGGTTCTCCAGCCAGGTTCTGTCCAGGTTCTCCAGCCAGGTTCAGTCACCAGGTTCTAGTCAGGTTCTCTTGCCAGTTTCTGTAGTCAGGTTCAGTCCAGGATCTTTTGCCATGTTCTCTCGCTAGGTTCTGTCTCTAGGTTCTGAGGCCAGTTTCTGTTCAGGATCTTTTGCCATGTTCTCTCCAGCGAAGTTCTTCTGTCTCTAGAGAATGTTCTGTGTAGGTTCTGTGCCTAGGTTTTGTCTCTCAGTTCTGTGTTCTAAGTTCTGTATTCTAAGTTCTGACTCTTGCTGTCTTATTACATCTGTATTTATACCAGTTGATTCAGTCCTATCAATCTCTATGACAAAGGTTAGGGCATTTCTTATCTCCATTCCAGGGAGTAAAGATTATGTAGCTTAAGCATGATTGTTCGTAGTTAAAGTGATTAATTACCCACCTGGCACTAGTTAAGAGGTTTTATTCCCTCCCTAACTTCAGGGGAAAATCCCTACCTGGGGAAACAACCTTTCTCAGAGACCTTGGTTAAAACACATAGTGCCAAGAAGGTGAGCAAACATATTAAGAACAGTATGCTATATATGCCAGGTCCCTTGAAACATCAAGCATGGACCGGCTCCCAGCAAAAACTTCCTTTCCCCATTCCTTATCAATGTCACTGATATGTCTGTCACCCCAATAAAGTCATCTTCATTAGATGTCAGTGCACTGGTCTTGCACTATTCATGATTCAAATATGTGTCTCATTAACATGAAAGATTTACTATGCCATGATCCTATGGGTATATTTGTAAATGGACAAAACCACAAATGTTAGATCTGGGAATTGCCAGGATTCCCTTTCATTGATGTTTTCTAAAGATGTTAAGTTTCCTTGCATACTCATGCCTTCCCCACAGTCTTCCTAACCATTTTCCCTTTTGTTTAAAGCATGCTCTCTCCTTTATGTGGCTAATTGTTGTTTTTTCTCTAAGATTTAGCTCCACTATCAACACCTGACTACCTCTACCTCCCTCCCCTACCCAACTTCTACCCAGGCTGAGCTTAATTTCTTTCAGTGGTAATCTGCCTCTGGCCTTCAGAAGCACTTATTATACTGTATTGTATTGATTTAATAAATATTTGACTGTGCCAAATACTTAGTTTATATAATCTTTATAACAACCATATCTCATATAAATTTTGTGAATGAAGAAACCAATACTCAGAGAGGATATGTAGCTTTTCCAAGGCTGTGTAATTAGAAGATGTGGAATCAGAAATTTGAAGTTAGGTTTCTGTAGCTATTTAAGTCTCTATTATGATTTTGAATGCTGCAGAAGCTGCCTAGTTCAAACATAAGCCATTTAAAAGGCTGGCCAGAAATTTCACTGGTAGCACAGCATCCTGGGGTGGAAGGCAGCCTAGTGCAATTTGCCTATGCCGTTCCCTATCTCCCATAGGGTCCTGGATTCTAGGTTGAGCAGCCTTGGAGATCAAGAGTAGGACAAAGGAGTTTTTCCTGTCAATCTTGAATTAAATATTTAATTTAGTTGAGTTAAATATCTGGTTGAAAGTGTTTTGTTCACAATTACTGTGAGATTGTCTTCACTAGGAAATTAGTTGAAAGTTTTTCTATTTGTAACAGCAGCATGTGTTAAATGTTTAAAGCTTATCTTCCTTCTGCTGCACAACATTAAAAAAAAAAGATATGTTTAACTTATACTGAATATAGTAAATTTGATATTCCAAAAGCACTTTGAGCTTGCTACAAGGTTGTTATGTGGAGGGATACCACCACAGATAATGTTAGCTGGTTCTTTATGTTTGTCCTTAAACCTGAAAAATACTTTAAACATTAGAAAGACTAGGTAAATGCTTTCCTCTTTGCCAAGAAAATTGCAACCTACAGTCCATTAGCAAATGAGTAGTATAACCCTAGTATTGTGTCATCATATTTCTCTCATCTGACTCTTAAATAGGATGGGCTATGTGATAAAATTATCACATTTTTGTTTTTGACTTTTAAATCTATATATCTCAGCTGGCTTACTCTTCTTTTTCTGCCTACTGGATATCTCCCTGTTTGAATATCCTGCTAGTTACCCAGGTCCTAGCCAAGGCTTAATTCATTATATTTTCTTCTCAAACTTCTCCATGTCCTGTGACTTTTCTTTCTATTCCCTGGCATCAGTATCCTCTAAATATTTTAGATTCAGTTTTGACTTTTTTCTTAATTTTACTCTGCACAACCAGTTAGTTTTATTGTCCTACCAGTTTTTCATCCATACTGTATCTCAAATCTATTTTTTTCTTTTAATTTATATTGCTGCTACCTTTGTTTAGGCCTTCATTATCTCTAGCCTCAGCTGCTGTGTAGTCTACAGACTGGTCTCCCATCTCTCTTCTCTTCTTCCCCTTCCACTCAATACTCTCAGAATAGTCTTTCTGAAGCCTCATTGCTCTCTGCTGACTGTAGATATAAGGCCAAATTCTTTGGCCTGTTACTTCAAGCCCCTGCGTTCATGACTCCTCTTTGCCAACTCTGTCTTTTAGCCTCATACTTCTTAAATTTCCCTGCTGGTAAAAATCACTGATAGTACTTTTTAAAAAAGTAGATTCCTAGGCCCCATCTCAGACCTACTGAATCAGAATCAACAAGGAAGGAGGGGCCTGGGAAGCTGTACTTTTGTTGAATTCCCTGTAATTCTTATCAGGGAAATATAGGAAACACTACATCAGCAGATCTGAACTGTTTGCTGTCCTATATAATAAAAGCATAATATGCTAATTAAACTGGACATCCTCCCGGATGACCTTCCAGATGAAGTCAGGGCTGCGAGGGCTGAGGCAGAGGCGGTCGCAGCGGCGGGGGCCAAGCCTCTGGCATGATTTTTGTGCATCGGGCCTATAGTTTTACATAAATGCCTTGTGTTTTCCCTTTTGTGTTTGTGTCTTTGTTTGTGTTCTTCTCCCTGCCTGAAGTGTCCTATCCCACTTCTGATATCAAAGTTATGTTTATTTTCATAACCTAAAATACAGTCTTTTCTAAATGTCTTTTCCACTTTTTCATAATCTTTTCTTTTTCTGGTCTAACCTTTGCCTTGTGATCCTTAGATTTTGTTTTTAAAAACATTTTTTGCTTTATTGTATAAGAACCCTGACTTTGTTGTCATTGTGTACTACTAAAACATTATCCCCTTTTCTTTCTTCCTTATTGTGTGGAGTTCCAGGCTGTGAGTTCCTTGGTGGTAAACTTTGTGTCATTTTTGAGTGAGAGTGTGTTGGAGTAGAAATAGCATGGATTTGAGGTCATACAAACTTACGTTGGCACTTCACTTTCTACTGGTACTTGGTGATCTTGGATAACAGTCTCTCTGAGCCTCAATTTTTCTCTTTATAACATGGAAATAATATGTACTATTTAGAGTAGTGAAATTAGGCTATGTATATCCTTACATTGATATATTATACAATCTTGGAAATGTTTTTGAAAGTTAAATGTCTTAAAGTAAACAATATGCTCTATGTTATAATTTGTATTTTATTCTCAGAGAGCTAAAGAATATCAAACAATCTCTAATATGACCGTAACTGTTATACAGAAGCTGCCACCCTCATGCTTAAGCAATCTACTTCAGCTTTCCGGGGTAGGAAGCCATATGCACAGTATGACTAGCCTAGTGCCCTTCCACAGCCCTCCTAGAGGGTCCTAAGCACTACCTTGAGCAGCCTGGAGAGCACAAGTCGACACCTGTACAGCATGACTCATCCGCAGCCTGTTCTCCACATAGAAGTGTGTCTTGGCACGCTGTGCAGAGTCTTTGGCCTACAGAATTTAGCTGTTTTGTCTGTTTATATAATAGAGCCATTGTTAAATTCATCTTGAAAAAATAGAACAACAACAAAAATTGTTGAAATTTACTGGCATAGAGGAAAGAAAATTTCTCTACAGGGCACGAGATTAATTCAAAAGAGATTCAGAATGGAAGTGTATTTTGTTTATTTTGTTTTTGAACTATTCTTTAGACTATGAGCACCATTCAAATACATTTTACATTATGGGTAAAATGAACCCGTGGTTAAAAAAAAGGGCGGGGGGGGGGGAGGGGAGAGGCTAGCTTGAATGTTAGAAAAGTCTGACCTGTAGAATATATATATATATATATATATATATATATATATATATATATATATATTAAAATTTAGCCTTACTGTTTTAAAAGATATATAATAACCAGAAACAGAGTCTTTTACAATGACTAAGAACAATTTGCAGTTTTAGTAGTTGCATGAAATTAAATATTTCTAGAGGACTTGAAAATAATTGTTTCATTATTCATTTGCTTATCAAGTTTCTTTTTTCAGTGACTCCACAGTGTTAAGCTTTATTCCAGAACCAGTCTAACATCACAAGTTAATAATTGGTGAAGTCTGAATTGAGGCTTTACTTTATGTGAAAGGAGAAATAAGATAGAGTCCCCTCTGGTTTATGGATTATCAGTGTGGGATTACAGACACCGCTTCACCCCACTCATTTATTTGTGACAAGGCGCCTCTCCCACGTGGGTTCACTTTCCTTCATTATTTACTTCAGTATCTTTCTACTACCTGATAAAAATCTCTTTTAGAATAATAGAATTTTATAGCTCAAAGGGATCTAGTCCAACTTCCTTTCTTTATAGATGGGGAAACTAAGACTCTGGTTAAGTGACTTTCCAGACTGACTCATTTCCTTTTTGATAGGATTGCATGATAGGGGGGTGCCATAATGACACATCTTGAGTTCAGGAAAGCACATTGTCAGAGTCTCTCATATTCTTGTGGACAGCATGAGGAAATGTGATCCGGGAGATAGTACAGTCAGATGGATTTATAGCTGATTGAATACTTCTGCCCAAAGAGTGCTTTGTTGTCAATCTGTGCCTGATTATTTGAACTAGTCAGTTGAAATATAATAGGAGCACATGTAAATTCTATACTTGAGTTTAATGAAATCAGCTGAATAGGTATAAGACTTAATAGCCTGTAAGCCCTGGTTGAATTATTAAGACAGTAAGGTCTCTGGAATAAGGAATTTAACATTCTTTGCATTTTTGCTCACAGTTGCAGCATTTTGTTCAGTTCTGAACACATTTAAGAATTATGTTGACAAACTAGCTGCATCCAGAGGCTAAGAGGGTCGTGAGAAGGATGGGGATGATACCAGAAACCATCTCACATGGGGAATGCTTGAGGAACGTGATAGACTTTGGAGAAGTAAAAACTAAGTGAAAATGTAATCCTAGGCTTCACGTATTTGAAAGGTTTTTGTCTGGCAGATGCCTCCCTTTATATTGCTTTCTTAAATAATAGCTTTATTCAATTATTTGTATTGGTTTAAAGTTTATTGCTGAATCTTTGTGTGTAATTTAAATTCAGATGTCATAAAATATTTTCAAATGAAAGCTTATAATCAGACAAGTCATTTTTATGAGGCAAATTAAATGGTAGATTTCATTATAAAAGAATCTCAATAACTTGATTTTAAAATAGTGATGAAATTGTACCACATTTACAATAGTGATGCATATAATATTTCTTTTACTTCAAGATGTTCACATTTTTACTCCAAATGCAGTTATAAAAGGCTTTTTTTTTTTTCTCACCCAGAAAAAGTTATATTGATAGAGAAATATCTTTCAGAAGGGAGGGGAGGAAATGAGGAGTAGGAATAGAGTACTGTAGCACAGTGCCTGGCACAAAGTATATATTTAATAGCAGGAGTAGTTGCTATTTTACAGTTCTATTTATATCTTCCTATGACTTGTTTCTCTACTAAAATATAAGTTTATTGAGCACATGAACTTTGAACGTAAAGCATTTATTAAGCATTTGGTCATTGATGAATGTTGTCATACTTGAGAAGCTCTTCCCTTTTGTGTTTTCTGCTTGTTGAATAGCATCTCGTAGGTGCACTCATCTGGCTGCTTGGGCACATTTAAAAAGTGGTTCTGTGCAATGTAAAGAATATACTTGGAGGATAATAGTGTACATTTATTTCAAATTACTCATGATTTATCTTCTGCGTTTTAATATCTGGGTCAAATTAATTAGTTTAGCTGTATGTAAATCTTATGATGGTTCAGTGTTTGGAAATAGTAATCAATAAACTTGTTTTCAAGGATATGTCACTTTTTGAAAGAAAAGATGTTTCTAAAATAATATTTTCAGCCAATTCAGTAAGGTTCTCATTTATAAAGCTTGAGTTTATACTGACATTTTCAGGAACACATTTCTTTTGCTGACCACATTTATCGGTACTAAATTTTATGTAAATTTGTTCACTTGTCCTTTTGGAAGACTGTTCCCTCCCCCCCCCCTCCCCCCCCCCCACCACACACACACTCATGATTTTATCATGCATTCCTTTCTAGAGCATGAAGGGGAAAAGCAAAAGTAGTCACGACTTGCTTAAGGATGATCCACACCTCAGTTCTGTTCCAGTTGTTGAGAGGTTGGTATGGTACTAGTGTGATTCTAAGTTCTCATTTTCTGGCTTAGATAATTTATAGCTTCCTTTGTGAGTAAGCAGTTGTTTCTCACATGTCAATTTTTTTTTTTCAACCCAGCCAAAAAGCTAAAGCATTTTGACAATGGCAGTAGTAGATAGAGCTTCTCGCTTATGGAGAACAGCACTATAGTCACTTTTACTCCTCTTGCTATCTATTTCAGTTGAACTTATTAAATTTAAAATTGTTAAACTTTTAAATCTTGGGATTGTTTGAAGACTAGGGAAACTGTTTGCTTTAACACTTTTATGTTTAATTCAAAGTTGCTTTGCTAACTTTTTCCTTGGAGCATTTTTGTCTCAGTTGGTATGTTGGGTAAAAAAAATCAGAATTCAAGGGTTTTGTGAAAGTCACCACATTTGGGGCCAATCCATTGAGTATTATTTCTTATATATTAAAGGTGTTAACAGAAAATTATCTTACTATCTTTGTTGCTTCTCTTTGAGAAGGGATGATATCTTGCAGTTACATATAATTGCATGTGAAATATTGGGCCAGTGTCTTAAAGGGGGACTAAACTACTACTATACCAAGTTTAGCTCAGTTTCAAAAATTCTGTTTCAAAACAGTATTTTCTTAATATCATTGTATTTGAAGGATTTGATTTCATGAACCAGAATATGTCAAGCCAATGAGATAAATTGTTTTCTGTAGCCCTTTGTTCATAAAAAATAGCATTGTTGATTTTTGTTTTGCAATTTTTCTTTTAATTCTATTGATTTTGTGTATGTATTGATGGAGCATACCTCTTATTCTATTTATTAAAAAATGGCTCATTTTTAGTATGTTTCTAGTTACTCTAGAATGCCATTCTGAAATTCTATGTTGAAATAAGTTTTTGAAGTATTAATCCAACAAAATATTCTAAATTTTTGGGTTACTGAATAATTTTATTACTTCCATTTTGAAGCTAAAATTTACTTGTTTTCCTTATTTTTTATTTTTGTAGTGAAAAGGGTGATGCAGCAGGAGATTTAGATGATGTGAGTATCTATATATATGAAGAATTAATATGCAAATTAGGTCGGTACGCCGTAAAGGTCACGACCAGCTCAGGAGGAGGGGCTGGGTGTGGCCCGAGCCTGAGATAACAACATGCAGGCACAGAGCCTGAGAAAACAACACACAGGAGTGCCACTCCGAACCTCTGCAGTATGGCTGGGGGCAGGCCCCCAGCAGACACACACAGGGGTGCTTGCTCTGAGCTTCCACAGCGCAGCTGGGGGAAGGCCCCCAGCGGACACACATGGGGGCATGCTCCAAGCCACCACGGCCAGACTGCGGCCAGACTGCGCCCATAGGGAGCGGGCCTAAGCCATCAGTAGGACATCCCCTGAGGGCTCCCAGACTGTGAGAGGGGGCAGGTTGGGCTGAGGGGACCCCCCCCCGATCCAGTGCACGAATTTTGTGCACTGGGCCTCTAGTTTTATTATAAATATAGTTTGAACAATTTACAGAAAATTCAAAATTTTTATAAAAAATTAAATTGTTTTTCTTAAAAGGTTATATACAGGGTGTCCAAAACAAATGTATACACACTTTAACAACTGATAGCTCAATTGATGTTTCTTACTTTTCAGATTTAACCCATTAGAATTAATAATTATTCAAAATGTGTATATATTTTTGGGGACACTCTGTATATTACTTTTATAATTATGCATATCAAATTTTGAAAAAATATGAAAGATTTTAAAAATATATTTTTGCTATTATAATATTTTCTTCCAAGTGTATGTCTACATGTGTGTGGAATCTTATATATTAATTTCTAGACTGTTTTTTCTCCCTATGATATAACATAACTTGAATAATCAGAATTCAGGTGTTATTTTATTTTATTATGTTAAAAGTTGAAATGTTGATGCATGGCTATCCTATATGATGTCTGGGAAATACTTGGATCAGTCATTTATAGCAGTATCCCTTCTTTATACACACATTTCAGAAGATTCTCTTTCATGACTGTAGTTATCTTTTTAGTTATACTGGCTTAAAGCTGATAAAAGAGAAGGCAGTTTCCTTTATATATAAGAGATCAAGTTTTTCAAGTCATCTATTTGTCACTTTATGTAAAACCCATTGATCTGTGCATCGTATATTTCAGTAGGAAGTACATAGCTTTCTATGCATGAATACTATTGCCACAGTCAAAAGAGAGGGTTCTTTCTGATTATGGAGGGTAGAGAAAGAATGAATATCTAACCTGTTCAAGAAAATCTTCCTGGAAGAGATGATTGTGTTGTGTCTTATAGAAGAATTAGGAGTTAACTAGATCAAAAAAGGTGGTGAAGGTTCCCCTAGCTCAGAGAATAGCATATGCTAAAGCACAGTGACAAAGAGAGATTATCCTATCTAACAAAGAGGGGATATGCTAATTGACCTTCACACCATCGCAAAATATGGCGGCGCCCTCAGCCAATAAGGAGGGAATATGCTAATTGACTGTCCTGCCCTCAAATATGGCAGTGCCCACAGCCAATAAGGAGGAAATATGCTAATTGACTGCCGTGCCCTCAAAGATGGCAATGCCCACAGCCACAAGATGGCGGTGCCCAATCCCCTCAGCCCCACTCTGCATGCCTGCCTCCAGAGTCCCCCAGTCCCCTCAGCCCCCCAGCTGCCTAGGGCCGGCCTGAGGTGCAGACAATCCTCGGATGGCAGCTGCCCAGCCACCCAGGGCTGTCCCGAGGCTCAGGTAACCAGGGCCGGCCGAGGCTTGTGCTGTCGGCAGTGGCAGCAGCAGAAGTGTGATGGGGCGTCTCCTTCCCCTGATCACCAGGTCGCCTCCTGCCCCTGAGGGCTCCCAGACTGTGAGAGGGGGCAGTCTGGGCTGAGGGACCCCCCCACCTCCAGTGCATGAATTTTCATGCACCGGGCCTCTAGTATCTTATATAGGAAGCACAAGCTGAGGTTAAAGTTTGAGAAGGAACTGGCCTTATGTAAGGAGCAGTGAGGATGAGTGTTGAAGGTAGAAGAAACTACACATACAAAAGGCTCTAAAACAGGAGAGAGTTTGGTATGGAAGACCTAGGTCAATGGTTATCAACTTCTAGGGCTAAAGAATGTCTTAAACATCTTATTGAAAACATTCACAATTTCTGTTTCTCAAGATTTGGTTTGGAAAGACTGGGATAAGGGCTAGGATTTTATATTTTTAATAAACAATCCAGGTTATATAGTCTGAGGACCAGACTTTGAGGACCATTGCTCTAAGAGTCTACAACCTCAAGTTAAGAATCTTGCCTCACTGTTACTCAGCTGATCAAAAAAACAATAGAAAAAGATCCCCTTGAAATAGCATCTTTCTTATCCTCCTTTCTTTCCTCCCTCCCTTCCTCCTTCTTTTTCTCCCCACTCCTCTCTCTGTTGATGCTGGGAACTATTCTGGAAGTTGAAGATATAGCAGTAGGCAAAATGGTCCAGAATATTAGCTCTCATAGAATGCTTCCTCTAATTATGGGAGCAAGACAATAAACACATAATTAAGTAAAATGTAGGTCAGATGAGTGATAAATGCTTTGGGGGAAAACAGGGAAGGAGAATAGAGTACTAGAGGTGGATAGGTGGTTCTGCCATTTTAATAGGGTGATCAAAATAAGTGTCACTGAGAGGGTAACATAGCAGAGATCTGAGATGAAAGAGCAAGCAATGCAGATAAATGGAATAAGGATGTTTCAGGCTGGAGAGAAATAACAACTCCAAAATTGGCTAGTGTGGCTGAGATGGAGCTGTATGACATCATGTCAAGGAGGTACAGATTTGAGTAGGGTCTTGAGTGAGTTGGAGATCCACTGAAGGGTTGTGAGAAGAGGAGTAATTGCAGATTATAGGAAGAAATCTCAGCTGATCCATCTCTACCTCTTCTACTTGATCCCTGGTTGAGGTCAGCATGCTGGTGATACAGAAGGAGCACAGTTTACTGCACAGAGGGGCTGGGTGTGAATTGAGCAAACAGCCCTGACTGGGTTATCTCACACTTACATAGTTCACCCTGAGCAGAACTCAGGGGTATTCTCACCTGTAGCAGATTCTTCATTCAGCCTTTGCTAATTCAAAACCCAACAAAAAGAAAAACAAACCTGGCTTAAGATGCAATGAAGAGTCTGGAAGTGAAAGGGGAGATGGAATGCCCAGCACATACTCCATTTCAATTTCTACAGGATGAAGAATTTGAGGGTGCAGAGAATGATGAAAACATTGATGGTGATGAGAAGAACCTGATGAGAGAAAGAATTGCAAAAAAGTTAAAAAAGGACCCAAATGCAAGTGTTAAATCAGCTGGAGAGGGAGAAGGAGAGAAGAAATCAGTTAGCCGCAGGTAAGTTGCTTATTGTGCTTCTAGGTATCAGAGTATTTGTCTTTTTATACTTCATTTTAAATTAAGATTGAGTCCTCTGTTCAACTTACTGTTTAAAATACTATTTCATAATGCTTGGTATATGTACTAGTTTTGCTAAATTAGCCCATTTGGAAACGTAAAAGAAAATAGGCCAGTTTTAAAGTAATTACAGCAGTGAATCAAATTCCACTTCATTTTTCTCTGATCTCATCTTTAAAATCCTCTATATAATTTGTTATATATGAGCAAGCAATATTTTAGCTAGATAGGGAAGGTTGTGTTTGTTTAATATTAATGAGAGCAGCAGAATAATTGTGTAGAATGAAAAGAGATGTCTTCAGATTCAGGTGAGTAAAATTTGTCAAAACTGGTTAAGGAAAATGTGTGGGCATGAAGCATTTTTAAGTACCTTTTCAAGTCTGATTTATACCATATACCCCTCCTAATCTCTATAGTATTATAAAAAAATTTCAGCAAATGCCTGATAAAGAGTTGTTGAACTTTGTGACTCACATTTTATTCTCCTGAAATTCAACTTAATTGAAAAATTCTCCTTTGTGATTCTATTATTACAACTTTATGTTATATGTTTTAAATAATATTGCTTTAAAAAGTAATACTATTTGTTTTTTTTGGATGGCTTACATTTGGGGATAACATAGGTGTAACTACATATAAACAACATTTTTTTGTGGTTGTTTCTCACCTTCTTATAAAAAAAACTTTAAAAAGTATTCCCATGTTATCATTGCTTAGCTCCCTTAATTTTTTTCTTTATGTAACTAGAAAAGTAATTTTCACTGATGTTAACAACCTTTTGCATTCAAAAATGGTACTTAGCAGTTACTTTAAATATCTTTTCTTTTTCCAGCAACATTCACCTGACAAGTAATCACTGTTGAGTAATTTAACATAGTAGATTAACTTTGGGCCAGTAATAACTGAAGATTTTGGTGATTATGCTTATTCATAAATGGAGTTGATGAGCCTCTCATAACCTTTCTTTTAGTCAAATCATGAATATAGTGAAGAATCCTTTATTTCTCTCTCTCTCATTCAAAACAGATTTTCTGCTTTTTAAGAACTATGAGTTAGGTTTGTAATGTGACAAAAATATATTTTTAATTTTAATAAATAAAACATATTTGCTGTTTAAATGTTTCCTTAAGTTTTCAACTTTATCTTGTGGGCCTTAATACAATTTCAAATACTTATGTACCCTCTAATTAATAGAACTTATAATTTAGCAAAGTTGAAGTTTCTGTAAGAACTAAAGAAAGCTTATTTAACAAAATTGGCCTTAATAAACACCAAACATCTATTTGTAAGTGTTCTCTTTCCCAAATTTTCAATATTCACATCTTCTTCTCTCCCTCCTTCATCCTGTTTCTCTCCTACCTACAAAGGAAAATAAAAGAAAAATAAGATCAGGAGAAAGTACTAATTTCTTAGGGAAAACACAGTTTTTCACTCTTTTTTTTATACATTTCCATGAGTATCTAATTGCCATTTATTTTAAGAACAAAAAATTTCCAAAATCATTACTGCTTTTGGTCAGTTATACTAGCTTCACTATACAGTGGTGCCTTGACTTACGAGTGTCCCGACTAATGAGTTTTTCGAGATACGAGCCGTCTGTTGGCCCATTTTTTGCTTTGAGTTGCAAGCTAAAATTCGGGTTATGAGCCAGCTTCAGATATCCCACCGCTAGTTGGCACAGCGAACGTCACAGTGAACGCCACAACATCAGCCCAGCATCACGTGTCTCACTCGTTGACTTTTTGATTAGACATACGAGTAATTTGAGTTATGAGGTCAGTCACGGAACTAATTAAACTCGTAAGTCAAGGCCCCACTGTAGTTTAAGTCTCAAGTGAGTTTTATGTTAAAAAAACAGAAAACCTCTAAGAGTCTTAAAAAATTGTAAGGTGGTGAAAAGGATATTTATATTTAAAGGAAAATGACTGTTCAGTCTAAGTTGAATTATAATGGAAATAGCTGCCATCCAGCTAGGACATTAGTGTAAAATTATTATCTACTAGAGGCCTGGTGCATGGATTCGTGCACTGGGGGGAGTGTGTGGCCTGCAGGGATCAGCTGCTGTGGGAGCGCTGCTCATCCTGGTCAGCCGAGTGGCGCTCCCACTGTGGGAGCCCACTGACCACCAGGGGGGCAGCTTCTGTGTTGAGCGTCTGCCCCTGGTGGTCAGTGCGCATCATAGCAACTGGTTGACCAGTTGTTCTGGTTGTTCCGCTCTTTGGTTCCTGGGTTTTTATATATATATAGTTAGATTTAAAACTCAGTGATTTTGCTGTATACAAACTTTTCATCTGGATGTGCCTGCAGTATTCTATTATCCTTTGGTCAGTTTCTTTTTCAAGCAGGAGGGATCAGGGACTAGACTAGTCTACCAGCCCTTTCAGCAAAGAGCCACTTGATATTGCTTTTATTGGTAAAGAAACATCTGGAATCTGTTAAAGCTGCTTATCACTTTGTATATTAAACCTACAGCAGGTTTGCTGAGTACTTAATATTTAAGCTGGGGAATGGTACTTAGCAGTATAATTTTCAACAAATTTATATAGAGTACAATCTTTTCTTAATAATCTATTCTCAGCAATGTCTCCAGTTGTTCCATTGAAAAGTACTCAGGAGTTTGAGAGAAATAAGTCCAAAGTTCTCCCTACCTCCTCTCCGTTCTTTTTTCTCATTATATTTATTCTGACTTCTTTAGGATTTTGGTCCCTTGCCTCCTCCCTTTTCTAAACGCATCAGTCTCACTCTCGTTCTTATTCAGCCCACCTTCTCTAAGCCTATATCTTGAGTACTGGATGTTGATGAGCAAAAGCACACAGCCAAGTACAAGCCCAGCCTTAGCTGTGCCTACAGTACCTCTTTGTTCCCCACTTCCCATGGTGCTTACTTCAACCCCAGCCTCACTCTCATCAGGTCACCTGGCAGCCTATTCTGTGAACTAGGAGTACCTTCTTCAACTCATTCTTTTCTCTTAAAACCCTTATGCTTTTTAGACCCTACAGTTTAAAGGTAGAGGAATCCCTCTGTCCTTTCAAAATGATCCCATTCTCTTTCCTTTGGCTTCAGTTTTCTCTCTTTCCTGGTTCCTTTCCTTAGGCTTGTGATTAAGCATCTTCCAGCATTCAAGAGTAAAAAGAAAATCATTCCATTTTATGTCCTGTCTCCACCTTCTTACTTTGCACTTATTTCTAAATACATATCATTGAGCTTTCTCCTCATCACTCCACTAAAACTCCTCTCACTAAGGCCACTTAACTGACAAATGTAATGGCTGCTTTCCAGTTTTCGTTTTTCTTGGTGTTTGTGCTGTGGATTTGACATTTTTTTTATCTGTCCTTTCAAAACTAATCTTCCTCAAGAACCGAATTCTTAAAATGTAATCTGTGGGCCAATAGTATTAATATCACTTGGGGAGTTTTTAGAAATGCTGAGTCACAGGCCCCAGCCCACACTTTCCAATTCAGAATTTGCATTTTAACAGGATCCCCAGGTGATTTGTGTGTCTATTCAAGTTTGAGAAGCACTCCTCTAACATACTAATTTTTATCCCTGCTGCTACTAGACTACTAGACTGATTCAAGTTTATAAAATCTTGACTCCAAGATCAGCAACTTGTAGGCACATTCTCTGACTCCCAGGGCATCTCTATTGCACCTTTCTCCACTTCTGTGATAGTTAGTATGACATTAGGTTACACTTTCCCTCCTCTTCCTGTACTTGTATTGTAATTTTCTTAAAGGCAGAGCCTGTGTCCCTTTATGTTTTATCTCTGTGGTCAAACATCATAGGTACCTAAATACTTGTATGAATGAATGAACAAAAAATGAGTGAATCCTTTATTGACAAATCAGTTTCTCTTCCTGGTCTTGTAAGTAACTTGCTTGTATATATCATATGGGATTTGTTGGTTTGCCTATCCCTTGGCTGAGACTGAGCTCCTTCAGAGACTCTTATTTATCTTTACATCCTCTGAGTCATATGCATATAGTAATTGGTCATTAAAGTGTGTGTACTGAGTGGATGAGTAAATGAATGAATACAGTTGTGATTCATTAGAGGAATGGTTTTCACTGGGCACTGCACATTAGATTCATTAGATTTCACTCCTGACTGGACATTAGATTCTTATTAGGTTAACATTAGATGCCTGGGCCTCACTCCCACAGATTCTGTCATTTTATCTGCAGTGAAGCCTGGGCACATCTTTTTTTTTTTTTTCCTTTACTTTTTAACTTTTAATTGAAGTATCGTATACATACGGAATATATTTGTATAAGTTATATTTCATAGTACATATATCATAAACTTACATGGCTTGCTGAATTTTTATAAGCCAAATACACCCATATACCCACCCAGATCAAGAAGCAAAACTGCTGTTACCTGGAAGTCTCCCTCTTGCCCTATTCTGGTTACTTCCTTCCTCATCTTCTAATAATAGTAAACATTTTTCTAACTTCTAAAAACATACATTAATTTAGGACAATAATTCTTTATACTAGTAAAAGCGCTCTAGATAGTCTACTGTGTACCCAGAGTTAGAATCCTAGTCCCCACCAAACATACACTCCCTTGGTTATTTCTGAGGCATAGAATAACATAGAAGTAGATTTTAAAAATTCTAGTGTTACCTCAGATCTTTTTTGTAGTCTAACAGGGATAAGACATTTATATCAACTAAAGTGAATTTCGATCTTTGAAAAAAATAAGGGCCAATATAGGAAATCAAGTAACTTTAGAACCATGGTCAGCAAACTGCCGCTCGCGAGCCACATGTGGTTCTTTGGCCCCTTGAGTGTGGCTCTTCCTAAGCCTTAGGAGTACCCTAATTAAGTTAATAACAATGTACCTACCTATATAGTTTAAGTTTAAAAAATTTGGCTCTGAAAAGAAATTTCAATCGTTGTACTGTTGATATTTGGCTTTGTGGACTAATGAGTTTG